ATGTGGTCAAAATAAGACGATTTATAGTCCTCCGAATGTAGTATTAATTTTCCAAACAGTCTTTGACTTACATGAAGCTGCAATTCAATCTTCCTGGTACTGGTCGAAGGATCTTCTTCTACCTCTGATGGGGGTTATTGTTACTGTTAAACGTCTGCCTGTAACTTCCGTACCTATTACGCTTAAAAATACCAGTTTTAGTCAATCTGAGATGTAGATTTCTAAATGTTTTCTAAAACACATACATACATGCTACTTAAATGCTGGAAATTGGCAACCCGAAATGGAAGCAGGGTCTCCTTAGCCGGCTTCCAGCGATAAAATTTAACGTGGTAACTCTTCTACTTGCTAATAGGCGGCAGTTCCAGCGGTGGCTTTGTTGCCAAATAATAACTGCTAAATAAATTTAATGCTTTCAATTATGTAATTAAAGAGATATGGAACTTATCTTGTGTTTGGAAATCACATTTGCCTTAAATGTTAAATAAAATAAATCAAGTTAGAATTAAAACTATGAATTTACCTATAATTAATTATTTATTTTATATCACCTTGGAATGGGAAAATTCAAAAACTCGAAAGTAATGTTTTTAGATTTGTGCGTCGACTTCCAATATGGTACGATATCAAAACCTATGTTTAAAAAAAATGCATTATACAGGTTGTGTATCCTTAGATGGGTACTGCCTCTTATTGTTGATTTCTTTAGATAGGTAAATAATTATTTATTGACACAAGTGTTGCATATTATGGATGTCATTGGTAGTGCCCATATTTGTGACACAAGGTGTTCAATGTAGAATTGCTGGAACCTCAAGGAGTAGTTGAATACGAATTTATTTAAAAAAAAACAACAAATCATCAATCAATACAGAGATAAGATAATGTGTTCGCTACTGCTGTTGCAATTTTTAACTAACTAACTTTTTTGTTTTTCGACATACTGACTTCGGACCGTTTCCATTCAACGCAGAACGGACAATCAGAACCAGAGTAGTGGGGAGATTTTTTTAATTATTTTTTCAATTCAACGCACCGTTTCCGAATTATAAGACCTTTTTTACTGTATCACCTCACACACCTCTTCTTTCCGAAATTTATTTTCCACATACGGAGTTCGGACTTTTTCCATTCAACGCAGAACTGTCATACAGAACCAGGAGTGTGGGGAGATTTTTTCAATTATTTTTTCGATTTAACGCATCGTTTCCGAGTTATATGGCCTTTTTACTATAACACGACATACCTCTTGTTTCCAGAATTTATTTGCGACATACGGACTTCGGACCTTTTGCATTCAAGGCAGAAGGAACATACAGAACTCGGGAGGGAGGGGTTGACATTTTTCAATTATTTTTTCGATTCAACGCACCGTTTCCGAGTTATAAACACTTTTTTATACGTCGCACACCGTTGGTCCCGATATTTTTTTTGACATGCAGGTTTTGACGTTTTTCACTCGTTCACCATGGGAGATTTATTTGTTCACCATGGGAGATTTTTTGATACTTAAGAGTCTAAGCAAATACTGTTTTTTTTCTTTCATATATTGTGACACCCCGCTCTGCGTCACCCACCGAGTGCTCTACTCAGAACCAAGGGGAAATTTGTTTATATTTCCAGCCAGTTCCGAGTTATGAGCAAAAACCATTTTTTTTCTTATACTGTGTGACATCATAGATCGATAACGAAGGCTTAACAAGGCCACGCGCTCTACCCCACGTTCCCTCCCTAGGTGTCCTGAAATTGCTGGGGAGACTCCTGAAGCAGCAGAGAGAGAGAGATAAGCTCTCTATGAGGACAGAATCACTCTATCTCTATCGCACACTATAACTCTATCTCTCTCGCACACAATCAGACAAAAACGACAGAAACGAACCTTCTTTTAAAAATACATAGGATTTATCATTATTAGAATAACCCATTTTAATTTAGAAAATTTAAAAAATTATAATGGGTTATTCTGATGACGAAAAATAAAACATAATTAACTGTATTATTCAAATAACAATAATGTGCAAAAGTTCTTCAGGAATATTGGCAAATTTATTTTGGAGGAAGAATCCCGTCAACGAACACTAAAAAATATTATTAGAAACCTTAGGTGGCCAGAAAACAGCCCCGATCTCATTGTCAGTCCTTTAGACATATTTTTTTACCTGAAAATTTGCAAGTATTGAAAAAAAAATACAGAACGAAATGCTTGATAATTTTGAATTTGTTTTTGAAGCAATTAATAGTAAATTGAAACATATTTTCAACTGTATCATCACAATCACTTGCATGTTGATTTGTAAAAATTGTAGGTATATTAATGTTATTTCGTTTTTAGTTATTCTCCTTATGTTGTTGTAAAGGTTAGTTATAAAAAGCGTTGTTTGTTATTTTCATAAGGATGAATTTTATTTTTTTTTTAATGATTTTTTTTATTTTAAACATATATATTTTATGCCAGTAAATTTTGATGTCAAATGAAATAAAGGAAAAGTCGTACATTTGTATTTAAAGTTTCTTTCTATCTTTAATTATTATTATTAAACCTATAAGTGGATGTCAAAATACAAAAAAAACCTGTACCTACATTCCGCGACGTACTAATAACCCACCTTGTATATTAAATAAATTTATCGTCATCATCAAATATTAAAAAAATTATATTACAAGCTGTTTAAAATATTATTACGAATTTTGTTTATTTGGAAATATATTTTCTGCAGTATTTCAATACCAAAAAATGAAAATAGTAGGTAGCTAATTAACGAAATTATGATTAAATAACTTAATTGTAACACCACTGCAGAATATCATATGATACATACATAGATATTCGTTGATTCTTTAAAAACATTTTTATCAATACCTACATCATACATTGAAGTAAATACAGTAACGCAAAAAACAGATATTGATAAAAAAGTGTACAAAAGAAATCCGTAAGTACGCCTGGCAACATTACCAAAGTCTTGTTTATATGTTGCTAGGATACGCTTGGGTATGCGGGCCGCTGTATTTGATTCTTCCTAAAATTCTGCTGGTGGTGTACTCTACCGGCAATTCGGAAATTTAAAACTGCTGGTCTATTCCAGGAGCGGTTTGTGGCGATAGCTATTTTGTCTGTGGTGTGTAAAGTTATTCATTTTCGAGTTTTATTATTTAATCCACAGTTTTGATTGACAACTTATATATTATAAATGCCAACAATCTCGGTGCCAAACAAGTAACTAATTGTAAGACAAAAAAAAACATAATATTATCTCTTATTTTTGTTGCCGCTGAATTAAATAAATAAGTCTTTTTTCTAAGAAAAAGATTAGTATTAGGAAAAAAATCAGTACACCTTTTTTGTTGTAAAATATTAGGCGAGTCCGAAAATAATAAAAATTTTTAAAAATCCATTGGGTTCTATATTTATGACAAAAACGTCGACTGACTCACGTCTAACTACGCCATTGGCAGCAGATAAAAATTGACTTTATACAAAAAATGCAGCTCTTTAACAACGTACCTACAATAACTGCCAAATTTTATGAACCTAACATTAACTGTTACAAATTTATTTAAAATATTAATATATATTTTTTAATTTTAATTTTCAACACCCTGTACCTCGGAATTTAAACGTTTCCGGTCACATGTTTATAGCAACTTTTTTTCTTTAAATTCTATAATAAATTATCCTGAAGTTACCTAATAATGTACTTATGTTATACAATTCCACTGAATTTAGTTTACGGACCGTGATGCAATCCAACCCATAGTAATGGGAATGATTAACACAAAATTCCCTATAGACAGCACACCCACTGAACATTTTTCGGTATCTGACATGTTTCAGAAACGTTTCCATTTTTCTCGAAATGTTTCATAAAAATCCATGCAACGTTCTGGTAACGTTCTAGAAACACAAGATGTCCTCCCCAAAATACGTTTCCAATAAAACGTTTCAAAAAATTGGTTTCAGTAACATTCTTTTTATGTTCCATTTATGCCCTCGATATTTTTGTTTTACGTTTCAGTATATTTTCAGAAATGTTTGAGTAACATAATTTTATTACCATATTGTTCTCATAATGGTCTCAACTTTAGATAATTTTCATTTCAAATGCGTTTTTGAAATAGTATAAATAGTGTGAGTAAATTTTTAAATATTTTCCAATACTCTTTTGTGATATTTTTTATTTGTATTGTGAATGACTTTAATTCGAACTCCAGACAACTTTTTCTGATTTCTCAAAAATTTAACTAAAAAAAGTTGTTACCTACATTGTATATTAAAAAAAATGCTCTTCTAGTATGGGGATGCGGCAACTTTTCCCAAGAATTTTTTTCTTTTTGAGAAGCCACTGAAAAAAGTTTCTAATATGGATTACCAATTTTGCCACTCATCGTACAAATAAAAATGTAACAAAACAATATGAGAAGCATTTTAAAAAAGCTACACATACTTCAAATACGCTTCTGAAATGAAAATTTTCTAATGTTCTAATATGGTAACAATGACGAACTGATAATTAGAAAAAGTTAGTTATGATTATGAATCTTGAATACATGAAAAACAAATAACATTACTGAAAAATAATAGCTTTGTTCCTAGTAGAATCCAAAACAGTTTTCAACAGTCAGACGCATGCGCATATGGATGTAATGCTTACATAAGGTTCAAAATTCATTGTTTCGAATCAAATGCGATTGCGTCGGACTGTTGGAAACTAATTTAACTAATTCTAATGCACTTGGAACAAAGCTAAGGGTCTTATGACACTATGCTAAAATTATAACCAATTTCAGTAATTAACTAAGAACTTTTTAATCTTGCATAGTATCATACAGAAACTGCAACAATTTTTGTTGCAATTTGTGTATGATACTATGCAAGATTAAAAAGTTCTTAATTATAATTACTGAAATTAGTTATAATTTTAATATAGTATCATACGACCCCAATATAACGTTACAATTTCTTCTACGCATGGTCAATTTTACATCTATCCTTTAAGTAGCAAATGTCAGTGGAATGCATAATTCATTTTTCATTTTCAGAAAATATAAGTTTACAACTATTGTAAAATGTAGTAATTGTTACAGTTAAAAAATAATTTAAACCCTACCACCATATGTCTGTAAAGGCTTACGATTTTATTTAGGCAGCTTTTTCAACACCTATTTAAGCAAACATTTACTTATTATTAGGAGCCCAAGCACAGTCTCCTTCATCCCTTTTCTTTTTAAATTGTAAATTAAACATTCCTAAAAAAATCGATTTGTTTTGTTGAGAATGTTGAGATATGTTTAAATTGTTTATTTTTTGTATTATAGTAGGTACTTGAGGCACAACCTGTGGCAGATTTCTATTTTTTATTTGTGTGGCAGAACTGTCAACGGGCCTAGAATAATGGCAAATTGCAAAATGTAAATTTTAATTGAAATATTAATCCTCTTAAAGTTTGGTTATGTGTTTTCCTTAGAATTAATGTACCTATTTCATAAGTCCTAATCACGTTATTAAACTGCTTCTAAAAATGGCATTTTAATGATATTCAAGCAATTTATTAAACAAATAGTCATTGCGAGTAAAAAAATGTGGTTGACAAAGTACAAATAGGAAGTAACCTCCATTCTCTCTATCCATTAAAAGTGAATGTTTTTATTCTTTATTTCTATTTGTCTTATAAGTTGTATTAGTTGTTATACCGGCATTCGATCGTGGTACTGTGTGTAGGGAACAGGTTGATTAAAATATTTCATAGATATTTAAAAAATGAGTGTTAGAGCTGTTTGTCATTTTTTTGCTACTGTGCATTTTTGGATTGGATGTTATTATGATTGGAATTACGTCAAAGTACCTGCAGAAGTCTCAAGAATGGGAGAATCTTTCGGATTTAGTGGAAAATTAAAGTTTTTAACATTTTGGGATGCGGTTAGTATTTCTTAAAATCAAGGTTTACTTATTTCATGGTTATATTTTGTCTGTAAATGTAGCTAAGAATTTACTTACTTATGTAATGTTAGTACCGAACAAGTAACTGTAGCTAATTAATTATATCTTTCATGACTAATATGATTAGAAAAACATACTTAATACCCTTAAATTTATGTAGCTTCAAATTTTTTTTTTAAATTACACCTTTTTACTGTATTCATAAAAGCTTTATCTTAAGAACAAAAAACTTACCTATTATTTATACTAGAATGCAAATGTTTTAGTGTTTATAATACATTTTTTCCTTAATATTGTCTAATACTAATCAAGGCCATGTTTAATACGTAGGTACTATATAATTACATTTAATTTGATCTATATTTTTCTTTTTTTTTTACAGTTATTACAAGGATTTTTCTTTGCAATATGCCTTCTCAATGATTTTATTGGAACAAATGAAAATGTACCGAAGAGAATACCACTGATTAGGAAAATTAAAGACCTGGTAGGTATTTATTAAAATATAAATAAGTAAAAAATAACATACCTAACTGCGTTCGACCTACACCAATTTATAAATATTTATATATAAGTTAGATTATTAAAAGTACAGAATATCCAATTTTTTATAGAAATCGACAGTATTCAGGGGGCTGTAATTCCAAAAGAGGGGGCCAGTTGGCAAAAAGAAAAAATACGGGTCCCCTAAATTTGTCTTAAAAATCTATGACCAAATTTTGTTGCATGAATTTCGGGACACCCTGTAAATATAGAAGAAAACTGACATTCTTTAGTTTCAAAACAAATTCAACTATTAAATCACAAATTTGATATCTTCATTTGTTTCCAGTTACAGGGTGCTATTCATTTCCTTAAATCTCTGATTACCTCTTTTCAGCAGAAATCAGTTGGTGTATTTCACATTGTCATAAAATTAAAACAAACAAATGTTATCATAATTGCCAATGGTCTAGAAAGATAGAGATATACTTTACTTCATAATTATACAGGGTGTTTTGCATAAGAACCGGCACAGAGCAGGGGCATGTAGGGGGACCCAAAACATGGTGATTTAACACAATTTACTTGCACCCCTGAGACTCCCTTATAGACCTTGAAAAAGAGGTTTCAAATTTCGAAAAAAAATCAATATCTGTTATACTTGAATTTAGAAAAACCAAATTTGGTGCACAGTGTGAACGTACCAAGAGCATTAATCGATAGTAAGTAGAGTTCACTTGAAGCAATTTAAAGGGATGATGCACCATTAAAAGTGACAGAATTTTTTAACCCATTGTCGGACTTAAAAAATTATTACTTTATTTTATGGGGAATTTAATTCTAAAACTTTTATTAAGCTTGTTAGTTTTCAAAAAACAGATAACTAATAATACCTCGAATAATACGTAATGTAGCTGTATTATTTAAAATCATCGAAAATTCTAAATTTAGCTATGAATTTAAACATTATTGTTGATTATTATTATTAGATAATATAGGCTACAATTTTTGATGAAGAATAAGTTTATGCATGACAGAAAACAGTGATCATTTTAAACAATTTCTCAAGGTGCATGAAAGTTTTTATTTGGAATTCGTCTATCCAAACATGTAAAAGAAAGTTATTTGCCATTTTCTAATTTGGTACATTACTGGTTAGTTTTTACTTTCAAAGATTTTGAGTAACTGTTCAAAAACAGTGTTAATGTCCAACCTTTGGAGAATCTTAGAGTCTGTGATTTTGTTTGTTTTTGTATTGTCATACGAGTTTTTATGGCTAAATATTGTTTTTAATACATTTTTTTAACGGAAAACTAAAATGTATTATTAGAAACTCACTATAAGTGTTGTATATTTTACTTCGTTTCAGTAATTCTTATATTTCTTATTAATATAATTATAAAAAATGAATTTTTTTTTTTTTTGACAAAAGATAAAGTGCCAAACTATTAAATTGTTTTTAAAATAAACTGATCTGAATTATTTAAGTAATAACATATACAGGCTGTCTCCTAAAAAACGCGCCAACAAATAACTCCATTATTTATAGTCTGATTTTAAAAAACAAAAAATTAAATGAAATGGTAGAGCCATTTCATTTAATTTTTTGTTTAGAGGGAGTCTATTACAGCTTATTTACTTTTTTGTTTTTGGAAATCGATAGTCAACTTTTCTCAAATATCAATATTTTTTTATTGTTTTTTATTATGCAGATTTATTTTCTGAATCCAATGATGTATATGGATTTGACTTTTGTAAAGCTTTTATTTCAGAAAATACGACAAAGTATTAGTCGATACCACATTCGGCGCCTGGTCACTAATTCATGACAAATGTATTTTAACTAATCATCTGTGCCATGGAAAACAAAAAATAATACACCAAAGCAAATAAAACTCAAAAGAGAATTTTGTAGTTAACAGAAAAGAATCAATATAATGAATATCAATTAATAGAAAAACAATTTAATTAAATACGTTAACCATTATAAAAAGTTCAACACGAAATAACATTAATTAAACACAAAACACATTAAACGAAGAACAACAAACACAAAACAACTAAAGAAACAATAGCCGTCGTTCTCTATCGTTTTCCTCTAATGCCTGTACTTTTTGAGGAATGTATGGCTTGAATTTATGCTTTTTCAATACTACATGTATAGTTCTCTTTGATGCTCTAATATTAGAAATTTCCCGAATGGAAATTCCAAGGGAAGTTCTTGGGTTTTCTTCAACGTTAAGAAGAACATTGAGCTCAATATTTTCATTAAATTGACATTCTTCTCTCTTTGGTTTCTTAAAAGCACCACAGTTTCTCAAATTTTCTTCAAGTCTTACAAATCTATTTGGTTTTGAAACTTATCTGTGAGGAAAATAGTTATCTTTAAAGGTGGACTCCTGCACCATGATTTTTATTATACCGAAAGTATACCGGAATCATGTCTGTCAATTGATTATTGCTCATATTTTGCACTATTGAGCTTATTTCAATAAATAATCTACTGTAAATGACACAGGAAGAGTATAATGCGTAAAAAACTGAGACTCAAGCTCTAAAATGACATTTACTTGCTTTATTGTATTATTTTTTGTTTTCCAGGCATACATGATTAGTCAAAATATGTTTGTTGTCAATTGCCGGGCGTTAATAATACGGTATTGACTAATATTTTCATCGAGATTTTCATGTTTTTTTTTTTTGTAATACATGTTTCACAAAAGTAAACTTTATATATGTACATAGTTGAATTCAAAATAGAAATAAAATTCGCTTCAATAGGCTCACTTTACTCACTTTATTTCACTTTATTATTTCACTTTATTTACTCACTTTATTTAGAGCCATTTCACATAATTTTTTGTTTTTTAAAATCGGGCTATAAATGACGGAGTTATAGCTTGCGCCGTTTTTTAGGATACAGCCTCTATGAAACTTGTCTTGAAACCACATATTATCATTCATTTTGGACACCCTGTTTCCGAATGCAAGTTTATATATCTTTTTTGTTAGTTTGAAATGTAGAATTTGCTATTAAAATTTGGCCAAGCATTTTAAGTAAATTCTGTATAGTTTAACTTAGGGGCCTATTAACTCAACAAGAAATAAAAAAGTTAAGTTTTGGAACAAATTGAAAATAAACTTAATTTTGATGATTTATTTCTTAAAAATGGATTTTAAGTTTTTCATAAAATGTATTAAAAACTCATTTAGACAATGACAAAAGCAAAAGAAATAATTCGGTAAGTTGTTTATTGTTCCTTGACCAAAATTTAAAAAATTGTACTTTATCTTACTGTTGCTAAGTGACAAAAAAACGAACTTATTTGGCATAAATTAGCTCTGCTCTCAATAGTTATATTTTAATAAACAAATAAAAAAATCCAAAATGTAAAGACTTTTTTTTTAAAGAACAGAAACCTGGCGGATTTATATAAAATTGAAAAATAAATAACCACTTTTGTTAAATATCGTTAATTTTGTAATTTTTTGAGATATGTCAAGCCATGTGATTGCTTTTGAGCATGTTATTTGGCATTATTTTATACAGGATGTTTACAAACTTGGAGAGGATAGATGTGAAATATCGATTAGTATAGAAACATTTTTTGTAAATAGAATATTATTTATGGCATTTATCAAATGACACCAAAATGACCAGACATTGACTGTAAGTGATCGATCACGTTCAAAATATACATATTTATAACTACATGACTAACTTACCACATAGATATGAAACTTTTTTTTTAAATTGCTGACTTTACCAATAGCTCTGCATTGTTTACAAGTTTAGTGTTGATGCATACTTATTTGGAAATTACTTTACATAAAGATGCTCAGTCGAGTAATCAGTTAACTCATAGCTTTTCTATTACTTTCAAATGTAACTGACAAAGTAGATATGGTTAAATCTCATTCTGTTAGTTATTGTTTTTATGAAATAACATAAAAATAAATAATAAGACAGATACTACTAATAAATGTAACAAAATCAAAGAATAAATTGAGGCTGTGTTCAGCGATTGGTCGGACTAATTCGCTCAAACTTCTTTAGTCAAACAATTCGCTGAACGGCCTTTAGTAACTATTAAAACCTGCCCAATATTCCTAATCAGCTAATTGGGCTGACCAACGAAATATTTGTCCACTGAACTACTTTGACGGGTCCGACCATTGCTGAACACAGGCTGTATACAGGGTGTTAAAAAAGGAGTGTAAAATATTTCAGGAGGTAATAGTATGAACCAAAATAAGCAGAAAAGTCTTAATAAACATGGGTCCGCAAAGTAACGGTTGCGGAGATATGGACCACTATTCGTTTTTCAAACATTTTATTTTATTAGGAATAAACCGACAAAGGAAGCTTTTAACAAACAAAAAACAAAGTTACAGAAGATGTTCAAAGTGCCCTCCGTCCATTTCCAAGCAGGCACGACATCTTCGTCTCAACGATATTCGAACTCTTTCGAAAACACCCTCCTTGGTTTGGATTTCTTGACACTTTTGATTAATCCGTAGCTGCAGCTCTTCCAGGCTATTTACAGGAGTACCATACACTAATGTCTTCAAATATCCCCAAACAAAGAAATCTAGAGGGTTCAGATCAGGCGATCTTGGAGGCCATAAAACAGGTCCGGCCCTTCCTACCCATCTATGTGGAAAAGTTTGGTGTAAATGCTCTCTAACGGCCATGGAAAAATGAGCTGGAGCACCATCATGCTGGAACCACATTTGTTGCCTCTGATTCAAAGGAATGTCTTCCAAAAACTCATACAGTGTGTTCTGCAGAAAGTTGAGGTAAGCAGCGCCTGTTAATCGGTTTGGTAAAACAACAGGACCTAGAAACCTGTCACCTACAATACCCATCCAAATGTTTAATGAAAAACGTGCCTGATGTCCAGATTCTATTAGAGCATGAGGATTTTCGTCGGCCCAAATATGCGTATTGTGAAAATTAAACACTCCATTTCTTGTGAACCCGGCCTCATCAGTAAAAAGAATGTTTGCAAGAAAACGAGGGTCTTCAGCATCATGACGTAGAAACCAGCGGCAAAAAACCAAACGTGCTTGATGATCATTTATTGGATTTAAGGCCTGTACTCGTTGCACATGGTATGGATAAAGCAGTTGCTCGTGAAGGATTCTCCAAACAAGAGGACCACTAATTCCTACCTCGGCTGATATTCTCCGCACACTCGTACCTGGATTCTGCTCTACCAGTGCTAGAATTTCTTCTTCTGCTCTAGGAGTGGATACCGACCTTGGTCTTCCGGATAAATGGCACTGTTTGCTCAAGGAACCGGTATCACGCAATCTTTGGTGAATTCTTCCAAACATGCGTTGTGAAGGAATCTGGCGATTTGGATAAGCGTCAACATAAAGACGTCGCGCTTCGGTGGCGTTCCCATTAGCACGACCATACATGAAATGCATGTCTGTTAATTCTGCGTTAGAGTAACCAGCCATAGCGAAAGAAAACTTGTGCACTGAGAACAACTGTCAAATACGTACTGTTTATTTCACTAAACATCAACCAACTATTATAAGAAAATACACAACGTTTTTGCAAAATAAAAAAAGGGGCTAAAAAACATAAAACATTCCATATCTCCGCAACCATTACTTTGCGGACCCATGTTTATTGAGACTTTTCTGCTTATTTTGGTTCATACTATTACCTCCTTAAATATTTTACACTCTTTTTTTAACACCCTGTATAGGGAAAAGGCTAATGATAGTCTATATTTAACACGTTGACTGCGAGATAATCTCAATGTACTTTGTCCGTGACTGAGATACATATCTTTGGGGATATGTAACAAAACTTCTTCTGTGTGCGGTACATATCCCTGGGGATATGTATTTTTTTACATTTGACACTATAAAATTAAAAATAACACAATTATTACTATAAACTTGCATGTATCTGTAACTATATATCCTAGGATACTAACGTTTTCATTCGCAAAGAGTTTTGAAAAGAAAATAATAGAAAAATCATTATTTCTAAAAACTACAGATTCTGCAACTTCCATAAGATACAGTAAAAATGTGATTATTGAGATTCGCATATCTTTTATAATGAGTACATACCCCCCGAGGTATGTACCGCAGTCAACTTGTTAACTATTTGAAAAAATTGCAGGTATATTTGAATTTAACAAGGCGTTATATTTTATTGGTGACATATCATTATGGTTATATTATAGAAAACACGTTATTAATTTTCAGATACTTGCAAGTCTAGCATTTCCCTTGGCTAACTTCGTAGCGCTGACATTTTGGGGATTGTACCTCGTCGATAGAGAATTAATATTTCCGAAGGCCTTAGACCCTTATTTTCCAACATGGCTCAACCATGTTATGCACACGAATATAGCAGTCTTCATCCTAATTGAACTGTTTACTTCGTTTAGGAAGTATCCTTCTAGAAAACAAGGAATAGGTATCCTGGTAGCGTTCATGGCAGTCTACCTGGTGTGGATACACATTATCCACTCTTATACTGGCATGTGGGTGTATCCCATATTAGAAGTTTTAAACTTGCCTCTAAGGATAGTATTTTTTGCCGTATTGTTAGGTTTTACAATAGCTCTGTATATTTTGGGTGAAAGATTGAATGGCTTGGTTTGGAGGAAGCAACTGAAGGATTTGAAGAAAGCATAGATATAAGTATAATAAATTTCGTAATTTTTTAAAATGTTTTAGAATACTGTTAAGGTATTATGGCAAATACTGTTGAAATTATACAGCGAGATATATGAAAGTTTGGAAAAAAAGTAATTTCTTTTTGGTAATCTTAAGCTTGTATAAGATTGGTTTTTCAAGGGACCTTTTCAGGAATATTTGTTTACCTTTTTGTGTACTTACCTTAACAGGATCATGTTCAGGAGTTGTATCTATAGAGGGTGTTTTAGAAATACTTACAAACTTAACACTTGAATTTGGTTAGTCAAAATAAAAGAAGAAAGTTCTATGAAGGAAGGTTCGGAAATACTTTATTTTCGAGATACAGGGTGTTGAAATCTCTGAAGACGTTTGTGAAAATTTTTGCCTTTTACCTTTTGCCTTAGGTATTTAAAACATATTTTAGAAAATGTGAAATTTGTTTCAAATTTTAACACCCTGTATCTTGAAAATGAAGCATATCCATGTGTTCATCCATAGTACTTTTTCTTTTTATATTGACCAACCAAATTCAAACTTTTATGTTTGTTAAATTTAAATGCACTGTTTGAAGGTTAAATAAAGAGTGTGTTTAATTGATTTATTGATGTGAAATTTGAAATACAATGAAAATTCAAATTGAAAAAACTTTCAACTAAAATATTATGAATATTGTCCATCCGACAGTAACTGAATAGAAATTGTTATTTTTTATATTTCTTTTAAAAGATTTTATTAAAATCAAAAAGTATTCGTAATTGTAGTACTAGAATTATTTTAAAAAAAAACAATCATTTTCCCTTGTTATATATTATACAAATTGTATAATTATTTATAATTAAATTAAAATGTCTCAGTGAAATTAATATTTAATATTTTTTATATCAAACTATATGTTGTATTAACCACGTATATTGAAACTTTTGAAGATGATGTCTTGGAAATAAATGCCAAAATTATCATTTTGTGTAAAAAAGCTGAATTGAGTAATAGAAAAATATTTTTTTAAATAGTTTTATGGTCTGTTGAGAATTTCTTTGGCCTATATGAGCTGATTGATATGTTTGGTATTTATTTGTTGGACATCCTGTATATGTATAAAATACACTTTTGTTTTTTGAATGTTGTGCATACATACTATTTTCTAAATATTAGTAGAAATTTTTGAACAATCGATAATCATAGTAATAATCAAGCTTTAAATAATTTATTAAATGTTAAAGTTTCCTGTACGGGAGATATTATCCAGAAAAAATTAGGTAGATATAACGATGTAAAACTTAGTCATTTTTTAAAAGAGATGCAAACCCCGTCGTGAATTTAAAAGGTCAATAAACGATACTGTAGATGTGTCGAGACTATTTAAAAGGCAGCTTTTTAATGTTACAAAAAATATATACCAACATTTTGTACAGGGGGTCGTGCTTAAATACGATGCAAACCAAACCTATCACTTATTTATTTTTTGACCATTTTCAAAAATTTTTATGTGGGAATGTAGGATAAAAAAAACTATCTAACTGTGATACTGCTGTTTTTATTAATGCAATTCAGGCCCAACTAGGACGCGTTTTCTTGACATCAAAACAGCTGATTGGTATTAACAATTTCTTTTCCAAAAATTATGTATTCTCATTCCCTTAAAACGGCTTACCACCAAGTTTCATAAAAATTGATACATCTTCAGGCAAGCACTCCATGATGTCGCGAAATGTAGTACAAGCCTGTAATTTATTTATTTTTTGGCCGATTAAAAATTTTTTTTTTATGAAATGTAGGATAAAAAAACTATCTGACTATGATACTGCTGTTTTTTATTAATGCAATACCCAGCCAACTAGTGCTCTTCTGAAGATGTATTGAATTTGATGAATCTTGGTGATAAGACATTTTAAGGGATGCTGAATGAGAATATGCAATCTATCTTTTGAAACAAAATCGCTAATACCAATTAGCTGTTTTGACGCCGAAAAAACGCATCCTAGTTGGCCGGGAATTGCATTAATAAAAACAGCAGCATTACAGTTAGATAGTTGTTTTATCCTAAATTCTAAAAAAAAAAATTTGAAATCTGTCAAAAAACAAAGAAGCTACAGGCTTGTATTACATTTAATCGCGACACCCTGTACATATAGGGTTTTCCAGAAAAGCCAAAATTTTAATTACGCATTTAATTAATCAAAATCAATAGATTTTGTCTAATAATTTTTTCGAGAACTCACATTTTTGTCAATTGTTCTATTTTATTAAAATAATGCTGACGAGCTAGGTATGGATTGAAAAAATATCTTAAGTAACATACTACTTCCCAGTTTTTCTTTCTGTTTATTTTTAACCGAACTAACTTTTTCAACTTGTGCTCCAGTTACAGATGATAACAAAAGTATTTGACAAAAATTATTGCTTTTGGTGAGTTTAAATATGTGGTTCAAATTTCAGCACATATTTGTGGAACACCCTGTATACTACAAAAAAATAATGATACATAAAAATAATTACCTATTTAATCAAAGGTTATATTATTGTCAAACATAATTTTTTAAATAATATGGGTAACATTGTAAACTTCCCCTACTTGTATTTTCTTCCAAACAACAACTTTTTAATTTGTTTTTTTTTTTAAATTTATATGTGAGTTAAGACCATATACATTAAATAATTTTTAGATAAATATTACCAAAAGTAGTAACAAATGTGATGGGGTATAAAGTTCAGATCTTACGAATAAATTCTTGTAATATCTTCCAGTTTTTTAACAACATGTATATTTACATAGATAATATTCTAACGAAGCACTTATTAGAGAAAAAAATATATAGGCAGGTCTCAGTTTATGAAGGTCTGTAAATTTTTGTTATCAGTTATGTGCAGTTAATATCTATTAACAACAAAAATTGTTCATATGAATTTATTTTTATCACAATTAATAGATATTTTGAAAACTTGTAAGCACATATGATTCACAAAAAAAATCCGTAGAACTTGTTTGTAAGTTGGGCTTACCTATACTATAAAAATATAGGCCAAAATAAAAATGCACTAGTAGTCTAGAATTGTTATGGTGTTTATACTTTTTTGATAATTCCATTGTTATTGTTTTTATAAAAATAGTTGTAATAAATTGCAGTAAAAATGGTGTTACTCGTTTTTTTTAATACTTGGCGTCATTAATAAAATTTACTCTAAGGGGATAAAAAATGGCTGAAGAAGTGGTTTTATTTAAATTTCATATCTAACCTTATTCTACCGTAACAGATATCTTATGTGCGTACGTATAGTGTCCAGCAGAAGTATTCGTACAGGAAAACATGAGACACGAAAGATCTGTAACGATGTAATTAAAACAAAAAAATCAGGGCCTATACTGTTCCATTCATCACGTGGTATGATTTTCAGTTCAGTTTTACTAGTTATACTGTGTTTTTATACACGTTTTTCAAGTTTGTCCAATAAATTTTCGATGGGGTTAAGATCCGGACTTTGAGGAGGTGTAGTAAGGATATGGGGTATATTGAACACAATCCAGTGACTTACTATGTAAGCTATATGCTTTGGGTCGCTGTCCTGCTGGAAATAGTAATCATTGCCTATTCTAAGCAAATTCGTGCATTTTAAATTTTTCTTCAGAATGCTTAAGTACACATTTTTATCCATTACATCCTCTATTACTACTAATTTTCCAATACCTGCGTCTAGAGGCGGCCTTAACCATTACGAGGCCCTTGTACTTTGTGAAATGTACGTAAATCGAATGTAGATATTTCCGATGATTTAAGAGAAATGCAAATAGTTATAAATTTTGAGTTTTCAAATATTACATTGAGATTTTTAAAAGTTACAACAAATACAAAGACGACAAATTTTTAATAATGATAAAAATAAGGTACGAGATTGAAATATATTTTTCAATTATGTTTTACAGTCAAATTACAAAAAATATTATTGTCCACTGATAAATTAATCGATTTTGATATTGATCATTAAATAAATCTAAATGAGAAATTTTATTAAGGCACCTATTATTACATAAGTACTTATTAAGTATTAATATATTTACTATGAATTAACCAACTTTATTTTATTGTCTTATACCTCTATAACTAATAGTTAAGATAAAATAAAGTTTCAAATATAAACTTTTTTTCTCGGGTTGTGCGAGGCTCCTGCAAGAGCGAGGCCCCAGGCGATTGCCCTGCTCGCCACCCCCTAAGGCCGCCTCTGCCTGTACTGTACATACAACCCGATATCATGGTTCCTTGTCCTCCATGTCTCATGGTTACATATATTTGGGATTCAGTCCTTCATTTAGTTTTCTTCATCCACCGGATCCGAATATAAACCCATACCTACTATTGATTAACCAAAGTAATTTATATACAAAGTATAGATATATTCTGTGAAGATGTTATTTTATTGATACATACCTTGTTTGTTTTTACATTAAAAACATTTTTTAATTACATATATAATTGTTCAAAATTTTCAGCATATTTCTACTTATATACTTGAGAACTGGGGTAGCAACAGTGCTTATAGTCTTAACATGCTCAAACATGAAATTTCAATGAAAATTTCTACCTTACTGTCATTACAGGGGAATAAACTTATAAAGCAATCAAAATTAGATTAGTTATTCGTGAACTTTGAACCTGGGGACAATTTTTAAAGGTGTTAACTTTGAAAATTAGGTAGGTATAGATAACACAGCCTCACAGAAATGGAGATCCCAAAGGCAAGACCATCATAGTATCTATAAGTTTTTGGGATCACTGAATCCAAGGTCCATTTGATCTGATCAGGTCTGCTAAATACTCCCAAGTTCTAAACTCAAAACAATCAAAGTTAATTTATGCATAGGTATTAAAATTTCAGTAACGAATAATATTAAAGAAAAACTCCAACTTGCCCGTGAGAGAATAGGAACATCAGTATTGGCGACTGTTAGGGGGTGAGCAAGTGGGCTTGCAATCGTCATCATGTGACCGCAACTGTTTGGTACAGAGAAACTTGGCTACTGAAGTACGAAGTTCGTAAGAATAGAAGAAGTATTGATCAATTTATAAAAGATGTGTATAAAAGTCTGTTTGATTTTAAACTCTGAAGTCAGGAATTGGGTTCCAACAAAGTAGTCCAATATCATTAAAGTAAATAGTAGTCTCGATACTATAATAGTTAGATGTAGTGATATTATGTGATTCATCAATGCAAAAAAACTCTTACGACTCTGTCAACACGGACATTAATACACATGAAGCATTAACGGACACATTGCTTTAAAGCTTACTTAATTAGGCTTATTGATAATAGAATTTTGTCATGTCAAAACAACTAACTTGAGAGTCATGGGCTCAAAGTTCATGCTTTCTTTCATTAATCTTATTTTTTATTCAAATTTTAATATACATAAATACTTAACTCAAGGGTTTTCAGTTTACATCTTGAGTATTTAGCAGACCTGATCGGGTCAAACAGACCCTGGATTCGGATTCAGCGACCCCAAAAACGTAGATGTGTAGTTTTACTTTATTGGCATTTGATTTTCTACATTTGACCTTGAACTTACCTTAACCCAGACCTGATCGTGTTAAACGTACACCGGATTCAGAGATCCCAACTATGTGTGGGTACACTTGTTTGCAAATGACCCATTTTAAGTATTACATCAAGAGCGCCAGCCTGACACCGGACGGCCTAACCGTTACGAACGACAAGAAACAATGTGCAATGCGGGATATGGTTACCACAGCAGATTGGCGCCAAGGTCCAGATACTTATACCTGCGAACGACTCCACACCAAGACGACTCTCCAGCGAACGCTTACCCCGACAACACTTATTCTTCTTCACAAATTTTGCACAATTCTAGTTGTATACCAAATTGTTTTGAATATAAAAGATTTATTGTTTTTTTAAGCACCGCAAGTGTTCAAGTGTTTGAATTTTCAAAATATCTGAGGTTTTCTGAAAGTGATTTTCAGTATCTCCGTCATTTATACTGAATTCAGTATTTCACGTTTTTTTATTTAAAAACACTCAAAAAAATCACTTCTTAAAGTTTGGCGACATATTTAATCATACCCTGTATTGTGGCAATATTCTCGAAGAAAAAAATTCTCAGAAATGTTCTCAAAATTCTAATTTTTCTTTTAAAGTTAAATTTCAAGTTATTTTATATCGGTTTAATGATATGTATATTTAAACACAATATTCTAAATTATTTTAAGAAATGGATATATTACTTTATATTGAAAAATATTGTGGGAAATATTCTTTTCATGATTATTTTTGTCTTTTGAGCGCATGATGGCATGTAATGTTTAGGATACAAAAATTTTACTACATTTAAAAAGAAAATGTATTTTTTTCTAAATCAAATGTTAGACAACAAAAAATAATAAAAAATGAGTAACCCAGGCACCGATAGAAAAGTAACAGCACATACAAGCGAATTACACAAAATTGGTGTGGAACGATTTCCACCATTTTGGTGAAAGTTCTTAGTAATTTTGAGGGATATTCTAGTTCTCGCAGCAAGAAAATGTTCTCGAAAATTCGTGAATGTTCTTGGTGAGCAAACAGAAACATTCTCGGGTTCGCACACAATTAAACAAAAATATTGTTTTTATAACAAATTTATTAGGCGTAATCACACAAATATGTTAAACGATAAACATAAAAATATGATCACACCTCACTTTTTGCTTGCCAAAATTATACCGTCATATTTCTGTTGGAACCATTTCATCGCATCTTCCTTTGTCAAGCGATGAGGGAATCCAACCTTGCCTCGTTTGGCTCGCCTGTGGGCTACGTTAAAACCTGCACGGCCTAATACAACGTAGAAATCTAAACCATAGATACCTATGCTCGGGTCATATTTGATACCAAGATCGATGTGTTCTTGTATACCAAAGCCGAAGTTTCCAGAGGCTAAAACAAAAATATAAAAATTAACATTTATTTTATATATAAATATATTTATACAAAGGTTTAACTACTTCATTTTCCTTAAAAATACATGCAACATACAATAACAAAAATAAAATATAACTTAATTCTACTACTGATTATACAGGGTGTTTTTATATTAAGTAGCAAAAATGGTACCAGTGAATGTAGAGCCAAAAATAAGAGGATTGAAGTAAAAATACCTTATATGAAAGTTGCACCCCTGAGGCGATATACCCTGTTAAAGGAGGGGATTGAAATTCACATTTTCATTTTTTTCTATAACATGAGGAATGCTAGAGACACGAAACTTGGTATGAGCATCCTACTAATAAAAAGACAACTTTTCAATATTTGTTCGATTATTGGCATATTTTATAAAGGAGTGAAAGTCAACCCCATTGCAATATTTTATTAGAAATTTTTTATATGAAGCAAATTATTTATTTAAAAGGGTAATTGCGAAAATTTGTAATAAAGTAGGCGGATGTCATAACAAATAAATTGTTATTTATCATATTAATAAATTGACACTTTCTGTAAATAAGCTGGTAATTTAATAATAACATTAAGAATAATTTGCTATTAATTAATGAAAAATGTTTGAATACTTATGACTATGGGACATATTACCATATTTGGTAAAGTTATTTATCTGAAATAAAATTTAATACAAAGAAAAACAAGAAATGCATAATTAAATTTAAAGAAATAATCTCCATTTTGCTGCAAGCATAACCTAATACGTCTATTGAAGTTATAACGCACTCGCACAAACAGTTCTTGGTTATTGCGAAGATCATCTGCTGCCTGAAATATTCTTAATATAAGCGTAGTTCTTCTAAGGAGGCAACAGGAGTGGCATAAACAATACTTTTTTATGTGTCTCCACAAAAAGAAATCCATAGGCATTAGGTCAGGTAAACGTGCAGGTCAACAAACAGGGGCATCATGACCACGACCAATCCAGCGATCCGGGTAATTTAAATTTTACCATTCTCTAACGGCAAGTGTACTATGTGCAGGCGCACCATAGTGCATATACCTCATCACCTGACGTGTAGTTAGGTGTACATCCTCAGGTAATGTTGGAAGATTTTTGTTCAAAAATCTAAGATACTCTGCCGCTCCAAACCTGTGTAGAAGAATAAAAGGACCTAGAGTATTTCCTACAATTCCCATCCAAACGTTTAAACTGAAATTATGTTGACATATTGAAACAAATATTTAATAAATATTTTCTTCTGACCATGAATGAACATTATGAAGGTTTACTCCACTTACTCCAGGAAAATTTGCTTCATCGGTGAGACGTATATTCATTAGGAAATTTAAGTCATGCCTGGAAATATTAATGTACCATTGACAAAAATCCACACGGTTAGGTAAATCAGGGTCATTTAATTCTTGCACGGGTTGATGGTGAATAAGGTATAAAAGATTTTCATAAGCTACATTCCACACAATAGTGTGAGAAACTTGCAGTTGTCTGGATACTTGTCTTGTGCTTGTACCACAGTCTTGTTCTAGATGTTCTAGTATAGCTTCCTCAGTTTCAACAGTTCGGACATTACGCCTTCTTCCGGCACCCTCACGATTGGGCTGAATTTTACCAGTTTCGCAATGCCTTCTTTCCACAAGACCAATGTTTGTCTATGAGGAATCGGTCGGTTTGGATATCTTTGGTGGTATAATCTTAATGCAGCGTTACTATTTTTTCTGGATTCGAAAAACACTTGGTGGACATATTCGTCATTGGTATAAATATTATTTGCCATAATTATTCTGATAATAAATTAATAATTAATAAAACTAATAATAAAATTAATAACAGAAAACTATCGGTTTTATCGAAAAATTACAAGAGGTAAAAAAGTTGCGCAATAAATCAGTCTTGCAAATAAATAATTTGCTTCATATAAAAAATTGTTAATAAAATATTGCAATGGGGTTGACTGTTTCACTCCTTTATAAAATATGCCAATGATCGAACAAATATTGAAAAGTTGTCTCTTTATTAGTAGGATGCTCATACCAAGTTTCGTGTCTCTAGCATTCCTCATGTTAAAGAAAGAAATTAAAATGTGAATTTGAATCCCCTCCTTTAAGAGGGTACATCGCCTCAGGGGTGTAACTTTCATATAAGGTATTTTTACTTCAAGCCTATTTTTGGCTCTACATTGACTGGTATCATTTTTGCTACTTCATTTAAAAACACCCTGTATATTTAGCAGCCTTCAAACGTGCACTAAAACTGCTGTCTTTTCCATTGCGTCACAAGCAATATTCGTATGAACTAAGATGAAAAATCTGTTTTCATATAATTGAAATGTCCTCTTGACAATCACCCTTTTTTTAACCCTTTCACTGCTCCAGACGTATATATTTGCTAAAAATTTATAGGCCTCAAACTGCTCCAGACGGATTAATTCGCATGAATAGTTAAATTGGATCAGGCTGCTCAAACCGTATATATTCGCAACCATGCGCATTAGTGACTCGGTTATTGCAATTGGTAAGGCAAATTTTTGCGGACGAGCTTATATCGATTGTGACAAATATTTTTATGAAAAGAGGTACTGGTAATAATACCAAGATTGTTCATGTTTCTTTCAGTTTCTATTTAGTACATATACTATATTTTATTCAAAATAAAATCGTAAAATTTATCGTAAATTGTAATTTAACATAACATAATGTATAACTATAAGTGGTCTAACTGCTTCAGACGTATATATTCTCACGCGATAAACTTTCGTGCACGGCGCAGTAGCTACGTTCAGACGTATTGCACAGGGAAAGGGTTAATACTGGGATTACTGGTTACAAAAATATGCCAAAAATCGATATTTCAACGCTCAGAAAAATAAACAGTACAGAGAGACGATCAAAACAACTCTCAAATTTTTAATCTGAGTATGTTCTGCTTTGTTTTAACTGCGGTAGTCAAACCAGTCTAAAATTAATACTCAACAAATGTCCACCATTTTCCTTCATTCTAATACACATAAAATATTGGAATGATTCTCTGTGATAGGTTGAGACTATGAAAATATTTATGCCATCACTGCATCTCGTTTTGGCACGTATAACAAATAATGGATTCATGTCCGCAATGACTGTCTTTGAAATTAGGACATACTCGTGACGTAATAGTGGTTTCAGCATTTTTAATTTTTTAAAAGTTTGTTGGCAGCTGGGGAAATTGTTACATTTTTACTTACACTTTTACCACACATTTGAAGAAACAAAAAATTAAAAATCCATCAATTTAAAAATTTAAATTTTTTATGCAACCACTTTTTAGTGCATTTTATTGTGTATTCAAAATACAAAGTAGAAATTTAGGATAATTATTTATATAATTAGAGGTAAAAATTTATTTAATTCAGAATATCAATACTGTTGGATATAAATTAATTATTAATATCACACTTGAACATAGTATTTAGAATTTTTCTTGTATACAGAAAGAGTGCTGTTACTGATCTAGATCAGGAAGCATGCAACACCTCGGTAAAGCAACAAAAAACTTAGTAAAGTAACTTTACCGAACTCATGCGTCAAACACGCATTCAAAACAAAGTAGGTATGTATTACATTTATCAGCAGAAATTTTTGACGTTTTGATACTTACATTTTTACTACATTATTGTTAAATTATTGGCGGCAGCACAAAAAATATTGTATGCGCCACACTCAGAAAGTGTATTTACAAGGTTTCTGCTTTTCTGGACTCTGCTTTTGGTTCTTTAGAAATATATTACAATGAAACTTACCAGAAAAGTTATCTCTCCTCAATTCATATTCTCGTACTTTGAGTCCTCTTTCTAAGATTTCTTCTGCTTTGGCGCCACGTACAGTACAGTGGACAGCAATTTTTTCATTACGACGAATACCAAAAGACCTTACAGTATACCTAGCCTTGGAAAATACAGGTTGTTGGCCAGTCAGCTGTTCTAATACCTACGGAATACATTTGTTTATAATGTTTTTACGACATAGTGGATTAATTTTTCAATTACTAAATTAATATCTTACCTTGGCTGCACGAGTAAGTCTGTCACCAGATTCTCCGACACAAATATTTAAACATAATTTTCGAATGTGCAATTCTCTCATAGGATTTTTGGATTTATCCTTAACCTCTTTCTTCTCTCTTTTAGCAACGGGCTAAAAAACAAAATTATAATGAATTGCGAGTATGAATAGGGATATATGACGGATAAAGTAATTTGAGGTTAATTTTTTAAAGTAAATAATTGTTAAAAATACAGAACGTAAACTATTTTGTATTTTGAAATCGAAACTAATAATGTTTGTTTCTGCTTTTATATCGGTTTCTGTATGAATCTAAAAAAGGATTTCAATTAATTATAAAGAGTATGTACTACAACATAAACATCACATACATTTTTACTGTTTTGTAAAAATACTGTTAGAATTAACTTTTTCAAATAAAATTAACTTGAATTATATCAAAAAGTATACACAAACATTTTACATAAACGTGATGATTAATGAAAAAATTTGATCTTAAAAACAACACTGAACTCACCGCCATGGTTAACTTGTGAAGGAAGTTGGTAACGTAACGACTATCGATAAAACAGGTTTCGTTGCTAACATACGATAGGTCGTCAAGGAGGGAAAATTGATTTAACTTTACTGTCAATAATTATATTTACTTTTGTGTATAAATGCAATAAAAGCACTTGATTTTTATGAAACTATTTTACAATGCTTAATGAAAACGATGTAGAAATTGAAGAACATGAACCACAACTTACTTCGTTGGATCCAAATGAAAGGAAATTAGCCAGAAGACTGAGAATTGAGAGACGATTGGAAAATATACGAAGGTAAAGGTTAAATAAATTTTATTAGGATTATTTGGCTATCGCCAATTTCATGAGATCTAGTACAGAGGACAGAGGTTACTTACATATTTTAGAAAAGTTCAATTTTTGATTTAGACAGCGGCGTAACTATTTTCTGAAATTGTTGCACGACACGGCTTATTGCAGGTATCACAGATAAAATCTTAGAGCAATACTACATAAAGGAAGCACCGTGTTTTAAAAAGTGTAGACGCTGTAGAGAGAAGAGGTAATAGTCCAATAGTTTGGGTACTCGCTCTTTCTCTGTCTCATCGTTGAGGAACGAATTGCGTTAGCCAATTACGTGCCCGTGCGAGAGAGAAAGATAGTACTCATACTATATCTATCTTTCTCTGTCACTCGTTTACTCTATCGCCGTAAGTTTGCTCCCTCCAGGTAGTATACGCTCTACGCTCTACCTAATGATAAAATAGTTGCACACGTAAAACACAAAACGCGGTTTATGAGGTTGAGGCAATCTGCTGATAGACCAGGCGGTATCTGTTTTGGTTTGGGTGAATCGTATCGTATATCCACTGAGATTTTTGGCTTTTTAGCTTTCAAATATCACTAGAAATGAAAATTTTTCTATGCGCATAAAAAAAAAACGTGGGCTTAACTTTTGATGGCACAATATGTTAAAAAAATTGGAAAAATGTCATATTTTTCTTCCTATTTAATTATGTATCTTTTTAAGAGTTGATTTTAGGCGAAAATGGAAGAGGAAACAAATGTTTGTAATTAAATTTTTTACAATACATGACTGGTTACAAATCGAATGAATCATGATTATTATGGTAAAAATCGAAAAAATCACAAAAATGGGGTTAAAAAACAATACTTTTTAGGGATTTTTTTTGGTGTTTTTACATTGGGTGTAGGACCTTTATACTTGGCTCAAGAAAACTTCATGTTATGTAGAATCATTACACCAAATTTTATCAAAATCGGTTCGATAGATTTTGCATAATAATTTTGCAATCCAGATTTTGAAAAATTGCAAATATTCAAAATTTTGCACAGCAAAAACCAAGGCCCTTAGATATTTGAAAATTTAATCACATATAGAAGGGCTCTCAAGCTTTCAAACTTTTTTTGAAAAATTCGAATCCGTCAATTAGGAGTGCTCTGGCGCTTGTTTAAACATTGGTCGAATTTTTATACTTATAAACAATTAGAACTTTGTGAATATTCAATCAAATCAAATTTTTTAAAGTAGGTTTTAAAAGTTCTTGGAAAGAGGTTTCTTTAAAAAAAAAACAGATCGATTGATCAATTAGTTTTTTTATGCGCATAGAAAAATTTTCATTTCTAGTGATATTTGAAAGCCAAAAAGCCAAAAATCTCCGTGGATATACGATGCAAACAAATATGGCTTTTTGAAACAGATACCGTCTGGACTATGAGGCGAGCAGAAATCGCGTGGTTTATCAAAGCACAGCGCCAGCGCTCAGTTAGATAGTTGTGTTGTTTTGTTGATTTATAAAATAATTATTCAAAAATGGCTCGATTTTCGAATAAAATGGAAGATATATTTCTTCTTTGAAATACAATTAGAAATCAAATAGTTTGTGCCGCTTGTGGTGTCAAAATTTTTAGTTTTATTTTTATACAGACTGAATGAATGTTATTTACATTTTGTATTTTTAAAAAATTAAGCATCCTCTGTATCGAAAACTAAACCGTTTTATATAGTCATATGAACTCTTCTTCTTAACATGATTCATGAAATGGACACTATTTTCTGAGTTATTTTTAAGGAGAGCTTGATCAGTATATTATGTTGGGAAATACGCTTTTTAACAATTGAAAATAATTAAATTCTGAAAATAATGTTTTTTATGTCGCAGATTCGTTAAAACTACATCATAGTGAGTGTTTACAAATGGCTGCATCGGAGTCTGTTTTCAGATATATGAGCCTCTACTAGGAAAACGGCCCCCCATCGAAACGCCCATATATTATTTTGCTGCATTTTGATAGGGCTATCCAAATATGCAAAAATATACAGGGTGTTCTATTTAAAAAAATGCAAGTTTGTGTCAACACTCTGTATATGATTAGTACAAAAATATGAAAATCATTTTAAAATGTGCTCCCTGTGGATGTACTGCTTTGGACTAAATTTTATTTTGATATCTGTTCAGGCTTAGGATACATCCTCCGTCCACACACTAATGGCGGACCCGGTATAAAAAATGTTATTTTCATATTCGCATTGCCCGATGGTGCTCTGGCATTTTTTTTCAGAAGGGTCCCCGTTTTTTGATATCGCTCGAAATAACTTTTAGTTGTAAGATTTTTTCTATGTAGCATTTCTATGTAAGCTTTTTACAATTAATGTTGTCGAGATTTGTGTTTAACATCATTTTTCAAAAATATTCGGCCTTGATTCTCGAAAAACGAATTCAAAATGTTTCTCAAAGTCCGCTGCATTGTGCTTTTTGAAATGTTTAATTGTAGTGACCGACGGCGAACTGTTTTGTTTTTTTATTGTCTGCAACCGAACCTGTTTATTAATAATAATAAATTCACAGTTGTTTCATTTGAGGCGTTCCTTCTACAGATAATTCCACGTAATATGAGCACAGTCTCAGCTACACACTCTCCGTACTTGTAATGAATTTTCAAAATCTTCACTCATTAATTTCTCGTATAAGGCTCTATTTATTCTATTATGGCTGAAAATTTTAGGAAAGCGATTTTCAAAAGTTATTATATCGAAAAATAAAAAATGACACTAAATAGAAAAAGTCTTACAACTAAAAGATCTTTCCTGCGATATATTAAAAAGGAGATGTATCTGAAAAAGAATTACTAAAGCTCTATCGGGCGGTGTGAATAATAATAAAAAAAACAGTAACTGAAAATATACACAGCGTTTTCAGAACTTTTTTAAGTCGTTTTTAAGAAAAACGCGCTTTCCCGGAAATATTGATCATTTACACGTTTCAACTAAATATTTTTGAATCAACAACGTCAAGAAAAGATGAAACTTAAAAAAAATCGTCCAGTTTCCTTAATGTTTTTTAGTATTATTGTATTTAAAAAGACTAGATTAAAGATTAAAATATAAGTATGAACAAGAGTTAGTTGTTTTTCTCATTTAGACAAGCTGCAAGCATTAAATCCGTAGAGGAAGAGGAATCCAAAGGAGAGATTTTGCTACAGGTCCAGAAGAGCACGGAAATCTTGGAAAAATTTATTCGTGAGGGAGATGAATATATAACTAACGTTCGCATTGCTAATGACGCTAGGGAAGTAGATAGAAGGGAATCTGAGGGGATTGGAAGAGAAAAAGTTATAGAACAACTGGAAAATGAAGCTGCAGTTGCACAAGGTATGTTTGAGGTAAGTGAATATAAAATGGAGATGAATGGTTAATTTCTTTAGTACGTTGCTACGTATAAAAATAGGGATACCCGCTACGCCGCGCCGCCCAGAAAACCCCTGCGCCATTTTCTTGAAATTAGCCGCATTTGCCACTTGAGGTAGAACATTAGCGAAAAATTTCGAGGCATGCCCCTGCCGCGGTAATCCGGCACCCGAAGTAGAAAGATATTGGCAGACATTTTCAAGGCACGCTCCTGCCACGGTAAATTGGTACAGTAGTTTCTATAACAGAACTTTATTGGCTTATTCTTTTCTTGGAATTCTATCTCAAAAAATATCGTACGGACTGTATTTCGTTTCGAGAAGTAAATATTAACCAGAGATATATAGTAAACGAGAATAAGTGTTAAGATGCATAAACCATGGAGGCGGCCATTTTGAAGTCTCAGACACGAGAAGCATCGGTAATGTTACCTCAATATTACCAGGTTAATTCAAAAATTTATGTTGAAAACGCGAATTAATTACATTAAAACGTTGGTACGTTCGTATATTTGCATTGTAAATAATTGAACATCCTTATTAGAAAAATGATGGAGCAATTTTTAAAATTTGAAAGATCATCCTGTAATTTTAGTGAAAATTTTTGACGAGAAATATGTTCTAACATTATATTAAACTACGAAAAACATATATTCGGCTGATGAGAACTTCTTCTTCTTCTTCTTCATCTAGTGGTTGGTCCTAATAAGTCCAATAGCACTGCGACCTAATTAGGCCTATTGTGCGTCAAACTACTAGTCCTATTCAGCAAGTAGATTTGTCCTTTTTACAAAGTCTAAAAGCTTCCTTGCTGATACTTCTCTCAGTTCCTTGGGTTCCAAATAGGGTCGCCCAAGGAGCGCCATTCTGCTACGTGCAAATCCCGGGCACTCGCCCAGGATATGCAGAGAAGTTTCATCCGCCGATTCACATCCTCGGCAGACCGGACTGTCTACAAGCTTTAGCTTATGTAGATGTTTCCTAAAGTGACAGTGTCCCGTTATGAGTCCTGTCACTCTCCTGAGCCGGATTCTGTTCAAGCTCAGTAGATCATTCGCTCTTTCCTTCGAAGGATACTCCATAAGCACCTTAGAATGGCTATGTCCTGGCCTTGAAGTCCAGTATTTCCTGTGTTCTGTCTCAGTCCATTTGCCCAGAGCCCGCCTGACCACACTGGGAGATGTGCCACAGAAGGGCTCCGGGCCAATGAACTCTGTCTCGGATCCCTTTCTAGCAAGTTCATCCGCTTTCTCATTTCCACAAATGCCTTTGTGCCCTGGCACCCAACACAGTCTGACTGTATTGTTGGTGGCTAGTTCAGTCAGCATTTGTAAACAATCCCACACCAGTTTTGAACTTACGTTGTGTGCGGCTAAAGCTTTAATTGCAGCTTGACTATCAGAGAATATATATATATGAGTTTACGTCTATAACCTCTACGTACATTCTCTGCCAGACACGCCATTATCGCGAAGATTTTTGCTTGGAATACGGTAGGGAACTCCCGATGAGAACTTAGTCTACAATTTGGACTAATTGTAAATAGAACGAAATATTACTTCTTCGCCCTGGGAACTGAATTATTTGTTCCAATCCGTCACCACAAAAAACTTGGCTCATTATGAGTATTAAGCCTCGTTACCCATCAAATTTGTCTCATGATAATTAAGGCATATTCAGTCTCCCTAACTTGATCCTCCGATAGATGCGAATGTTAAAATCTGAAATAAACTCGTATTAAATATCGATTTTAACTTACCTTGTGATCTTTTAATAAAACTTTAAGATTTTTTTGGGCTTTGCGTAAGACGTTACACAAAACTAGATTTTTTCTTTCAACATCATACATTCGTCGATTGGATATCCTTGGGGATATGAACAAACCCTCAAACGTCACACTAGTGCGAATTCGCACCACCGTTTTTTTTTTACAGTTGGCATTCCTCAGGTAGCAGCTGCCGAGGGTTTCCCCACCACGATAATTTCTTCTATAGCCCAAACAGTCGAACTGTACCACAGCTGGTCTCAGTCTGCTATTATCGGCCAAATTAGAGAGTCTGAAAAGTCCGATCGGTACGAATTTGCACTAGTGTGACTTTAGTGTGGGAAAAAGTGTGACTGAATTTATATCATATAATCTAGAAATAAATTGCATTGAAATGCAAATTTCCGATTTTTTCACCTCATTTTACGTGACGAATAGACTAGAATATTGTTTATTTAGTGATTGTTAATAATTTTTTTTAAACAGTTTTTCATTAATAGTTTAATCTTAACACGTATTTACCAATATTTATGGATAATATTGTTTAAATTAATATTTTTATACAAAAGAGTGCAAAATAAACATCAATTTACAGAAAAGGAGCAACTTCAAAAAATGTCTATATTCGAGATACCGGGAAAAATCGATAATATCATTTTATCAATATGGGATATTTTTTTCTTAAAAATATGAACTTTGAACTTCAAAATTCTGTTTTTCTCTAGCCATTATTTATAAAAAAATATGAATTTTAAAACAAAGTAATTTTTCGAAAAATGTTTTTTCAATCGATTCTTTTATTAACAAATTTTTTTTCCAAAACTAATTAAATAATTTGAGTTCTCGGAAAATTTTACCCTACTTTTGATATAAATATGTTATGTTTTCGTTAACACATAAAGAAGACATAAATGGTCAAAGTTGGTAAAACCGCGATTCGCACTAGTGTGACCTTTAAGATGGCCCACCCTAAGTGTGACCTTTGAGGGTTAATTTCTACGATAGATCTGTCAGATTGGGCTCGTGGTTTGATTTGTCGTATCCACGGAAAGTTTTATCGGCTGGTTTGGTACGTGCAATATCATACTGGTTTGTGTTTATAAATACAACTCCTCATTTGTTTTTTGGTGCAAAGGTCGTTCACATTTCATATTTATTTTTTCCTTTTAACGCTGCAAACATTTAAATAAGATTAGTAAATTATGCCGTGAATAAATAATTACAGAATCATTTTAAATTTTAGGAGATTGCCGAAAAATGGTCAATTATAGAAAACTACAAAGATCCCCTTCTTATTAACGAAGAAGTTCAGACACAAAAGGAAAAATGTGATATGCTGATTAGGCAAAAGGATGGCATCATCGCCATGCTTAAGGAAGAGATAAAAAATGCTGAAAAGAATTTCACTAGGGATCAGAGGAAGCAGATGGAAGATATTAATATTCTAGCACAAAGAATTGAAAAACAGGTACAAAATTTAAAAAAAATCGCATAAATACATACAAACTATTCTCAATAATGGTCAGTCATAAAATATAGGTAGAAAACGAAAACAAATATTTTGTTGTTAATCAATAGTATTTAGAAGATTTGCAAAATGTATAGATGTAAGTTTTTCCATGACAAATTTTTTTGAAAAAATTGCCCTATTGATCCCGAGATTTTTAGTTTAATTTTAGGAAACGAAACAATTTTCTAAAAGTTAATAAAAAAATGGTAAAAAAGTTCTAAATTTAACGCCCAAATATGTCTCAAAGTATAGTTTACATTTATCTACATTCACGAGCGTATATTTTTATGAGACAATAGCGCTACTAAGATATTATACAGGGTGGGCCATTAGTGTGAGAAAGTACAAATTTGTACAGAAACAAGAAACCTAAACTACAAAATTAATTTGAAACGTACAGGGCGATGAGTAGAAATGGGACACGTCAAATATTATACATTTTTTAATGGAACACCCTGTATATTTTTAAACATTTTGTCGTATGTATAATTTTCTCAGAAATCCTTATTTTTTATTTAAAAATTGATTGCAATGATTTCATTCAGAAATATTTCTTTTTTTCCTCCGTAGTTGCGATGTTCGACTGAAACTGAAAGTTTTTTACCTAGAAAGGAAACTACTACTTACTATGAAATTTCGGAAAAATAATATATTTTTCTATAAATTCACCTCAAATAACACGAAAAAGATCTGCACCGTTCTCGAGAATATAATCGGCATAATACGCTTCCTCGCATTTTAAAGAAACACTCCGAAAATTAAAAGTGTTATGGATTTATTCCAAACTTTATTGATGCGTTAGGTATACTAATTAAAATAGAAAAAAAAGTAGAAAAAAGAACATTGCTTATAAAATCCAATCTTCCTCAGATTGGAGTTTATAATTTTTTATTGGCAACCAAATTTCATAGGTCTTAAATGCGACAATAAAAGGTATTTGTTTATTTCAGTTGGTATAACTAATATCAGAAAATTTTGAAATTCGGTGTACGTCTCTATAATTTCAATTAAACATCTACTTACAAAGCATGCTAATTCAAAACATGATTGCGTGGAAAAGCACAAGGTGTTTGAGTAAAATATTTACGTAACAATTATTGCCAATGATACAAATTATCTTCCAGGATATAAAGGGAAGGTTCATCTGCCAAGTTATATCCTCGGCAGACCTCATTGTTTACAAACCTTAGCTTGTATAGTGTATAGTAACAGTGTCCCGTTAAAAGTCCCGTCACTTTCCTGAGCCAAATTTTATTTAAGCTCAGTAACTCGTTTGTTCTTTTCTGCAAAAGACACTCCCATAAATCCCTTTGACTGGGTTTGTCCCAGTCTTCGGTCCAGTGTTTCTTCTGTCCAGAACTCCCCTCACCACACTGGGAGATGTGCCACAGGGGCTCTGGACTAATGAAATCAGTTTTGGATCCCTTCCTAGCAAGTTCATTCGCTTTCTCGTCTTTGTCATTGGCTTTGTGTCCTGGCAGCCAACATAGTCTGACTATATTAGTGGTAACCAGTTTAATAAGCATTTGTAAACATACCCACACAAGTTATGAACTTACCTTGTGTATGTCTAAAGTCTTAATATGCTGTTTTACTGTCAGATAATATGTACCTACATGAATTTATGTTTATAGCCTCTTCGCAAATTTTCTGCTAGACACACCATTACTGCGAAACTGTCTTGCTTGCATACTGTATCTTGTCCATATATTTCTGAATCCATCCACTTGGTCATTTTGGAGCCATCCATAAACCATACTAGGCTTCATCAAATTTTTCCTCCAATTTAGTCTTAATCCTTTATTCAAGTCTCGAACGGCTTATGAAAGTGAAATTTTGGAACCATCTTGTCGAATACCATCCGGAGAGTTGTTTCCGACATAGGTGTTTCCATAAACCTGGAATAAAGACTACCATCTCTCTAGTCGTTATTCGTCCTGTGTTGGTATGCTGCTAACTATGCTTCTATTCCCATCTCTATATGAACGGTGGCAGATTTTTTGATTTCTAGCGCAGCTGTCGGGGTCGGTGACGTGATTCAGTTCTTTCCTCGCTGTGGTCTGTTGGTTTTTTTGCTACAGTGTTATAAGATGTCCTAGGTCTTACTATCAAGGTATAGCATAGCATTCTCGGCTTCAGTCCTCAGGTTCTACCGATGAGGCAAAAACATATACACAATGTTTGCCTCGCTTAACTTACCACTTTTGTGTTTGTGTTCCAGGTAATTCAATACTAGATATTTAACCTCCCTGGAAAGCTGAATACACTTCTCATTTATTATTGGTTCAAATAGCCCAGTCAAATGTCTTCTCTTGGTATTGTTTTGTTTGAGTTTACTGACAGACAGTGCTTGCCCCTTACACCAATCACGTAGTCAATTCAGAGCCTTTTTCATGCCCTGAAACGATTAATTTCCTGACTATGAGAACGACTAAGTCATCCTGTTCACTCCAATATGGGGTTATTGGTCTTCTGAGATTATGGTGGTTTCTGATAAAGGATTGAAGGGTTATAGGTTTAGTGAATTTACCATTATAACTTTTTGGAACTCTTCAAAATCATTATTAAATACGAACCTCCTCATACTGTCATTCAGATTCTGAGGCTTGTGGTATTATGTAGTTCTGACGTTATGATGTTATGGGAGTTGAGGTTAGGGGGCTTCAAGGTTATAGAGTTTGCATGAAAGGCTCATGACATACATAGTTTTACTATTTGTAGTCGAGTGGTTTAGCTTTTAATGTTTGTGGTAACTTGGAATACACTATTGAGGATTCCTCGAGATATACTTGATATGTAGGGTCAAAATAGAAGTTAGTGGTCAAAAATATATCGGTATAACATGGTCAGTTTCACGGCGCAGACAACTTCTTTTTTGTGGGCTTCTTTAATTAATTAAACTACAAAACATTATTAACTGTATAATTTGATAACATTATAATTCTACAGAATAACTTTGTAAGCAGTCAGGTATGACTTCTTAGTCATAACTTTTTATATCAATTTTGACCAAGGAACACCCTGTACAAATTTTATAGTTAAATTAAAAAAGACACCCTGTATAACCATATAACCAAGCCATATTTCCGTAGGTAACTTTCATGCGGCGTGCTTATCAAAGGGAGTTCGACTTAATAGAAGATGTGATTCTAACGGAGAGAAAAAAATTGATAGATACGAATCACAAAAAGTGGGAAGAACTCTATAAGAAGAGGGAACTGCAAGAAATGGCAAACTCTGATAAGAAATTCGAACAACTCGAGGAGTTTAACGAGAGATTGAACATGCTGCGCATAGAATTCGAGGAAAAGTTCAGAGAGACCTACATAAATCTCGAAAACGATATAGACACTATACAGAGGGAGTTGGAGAGGATCAAAGCTCTGGCCTTACTTAACAGTGAGAAACTGGACTACAACTATCAGATTCTGAAGAAAAGGGAGGATGAAAATATTATTATAAAATCTCAGCAGAAGCGGAGAATAAATAAACTCCAAGATGTGATCAACGATTTGAGGAAAAAGACCGAGGATTATGAATTCACCACTAATAATCTTATGAAAAAATTGACAGAAGATACTAAAAAATTGCATAAGAATATTCTACTGGTTAGTAACACCATATACTTTAAGTAACTAACAATATCTAAGTTGGTAGCTATACCGTCAGTTTAGACTTCTTAACGTTTCTTGTCCAGGAGAACCTTTAAAATTTTAGATTAAGTTTTCCGACCGATATTTGAATTTTTTACTGGGGTACTGATTAATGACTTTCCCATATCGGATTTGAAGTCATTAGTCTGTGACTTTCCGTTCCTTGATTTCTACGTTTCCAAATTCCGTGTAGTCCATGTTTCGGTTGAAATCACTTCACATGTTTTATGGATTTCTACTGCTGCGTAGGATCTTGGCCAAAATCTCTTTTTTTTACCATTATTCCGGAATTATTTACGTCTATTAAGTGCTGATTTCTCTAAATTATTTCTTAAGGGGGCGATTTAGTATGTATATTTTTACCATGTAACAGAGCTTCAGATGAGGACACAAATCATCGAAGAAACTAACATAATTGAATATTATTATATATCAATGTATTCGCAATGGTTCCCGCTAGTGAGTGAAATAAATTTCAATGCTCATGAGAACAGAAGAATAATTTAAATAAATGCCAAAGTACCTCAATTTTAACCATACTGTTAGTCTGCCAATATATTGGATTTACGACGGAACTAGGTCAGGCACAATAACCAAACTACTTCACTCACTAGAACGGACACTTAGGATCATTTGTATTTAATTTTCAGATTAATATTTATTAACAATTCTATAATTTGTGTCCTCAAGTAAGATGACAACATTTTACACACGACTCCATGTTATATTATATTATATTATATATTTAAACCAGAATTTTAGCGGTTTCTATCTTCTACAAGAATTTCTAAATAAAATTAGTTTGTGTACTCTGTCACAGGTGTCGCTACCCTTGAAAATGAAAGCGAAAACACAGAGTTGGTTTATTGTAAATTGTATTGGCCGAGAAATAGTGAAATTTCTGGCGTTTTTAGGTACTGAAATCTTTAAAAGTAAAACGTGTAGAACAAAAGTAGGGGTAAGCACAAAAATAAAATCCTTGATGTTTTGTTTATTCATGGTTACCGTTTAAATTTACCCAAATAAAATAATAACTAAAAAAAAGCGTTTGCAAAACATGCGTTTGCTATTATCCTAACCCCACATTTTAACAATTATTTTCACGTACTTATAAAAAGTAAACAATTTTATATGTAGGACTAAGCAAGTAAATGTTATAAGAATATTTACATGTGGAATTATATATAAAAAAGATAGTATTTTCGTAGATTTCAGTACCTAAAACCTTAATGGTTTGATCGTTTTTTGCACCTGTTTATTCGTTTTACTGCGGCCGGCGTCTTTGAAAATACTCAGGTGGCATGACATAACATTCCTATTATTTGATAAGCTTTAGATTATTCAGTTATTAAATGTTTGAAATTATTTGTCTTTGCGGAAAACACTATTTACAGAATATGGGACCCATAATGGTCTGATATTATCTTTGATATATAAATATGGGTAATATTTTAAAAGTAGGTAGGTACCTAAGTAATAAGATTTTGTAAAGCTTAAGTAGTACGAAAATATAACGCATAAAAAACCAATAATATGTACTAATTTTTCTTTATTAAGAATAAAGATTAAATTTTACGTACAGGGTGTCCCACATAAAATCGTTATTTATGTTGTAGCCTTGGTAGTTTCAAAATAAATTTACAGCTTAAAAATTGGTCTGGCTCAGGTAGATTTCTGTTTCAATCTACAAATCAGTAGCTACTTACCGATAAGAAGGAAACCACTAGTCTAGTCGAGAAGTGAGTTTTCTGCGAAAAATAGTTATTGTAATCCTAAAAATATGGTTGTTAGTACATTGGATTCGGAATTAAATTCAGAGAAAGAAGTATTTTTTAATTTATCCGCAATTAAAAATAGCAATTGTTATAAACAAAAAACGAAGAGAAAAAAGGGAGTCTCCGTTTTTTAACTATAACTAAAAAAATATTGAAGATAGCTGAAATTTCAAAAAAGATCCTGAAAGAGGAGAAAATTTCAGCAAAATAAGTCAGGAATTGTAGCTCCATTATTTATAATTTTAATTTGACGTTGAAAATATAGCTCCGCGCGGCGGCGGCGGTTTCCGCGTCGTCGCGTCGCCGCCAAGCAAAGTGTGCAACACAAAATAATTTTTTTATAGTATTCAATATTAATTTAAAAATCTAAATAAATTATAGTGTCATCTAGACACTTGAAGGAACACAGCCCAGTTGGAAAATAATTTTTAACTTGACTTATGTTAAAGTTATTCAATTGTTAATGAACTAATTTTTCGTGGTCCTAATCTTTCATAAAACTTGTTGTAAAACTTTAAATAATGTATCTAAAATTTTTTTTCTTTCTGGGAGGTCTTTTTATATACATAATAAACAAGATTCCGTTGTAAAAGTTTATAAAAGTTTTTTCATTTGTTTATAATGATTTTTTAAAGTTAACAAAAAATGAAAAATCCGGGAAATGTTATAAATTTTTTTTTTACCAAATGTTTGATTTTAGTTGTTTTTCTATTAATATATTGCGTTTATTAGCTTAGCTAAAAACTTTTTAACGTTATTTGTTTATAAATTTGTTATAAACAAATGGACAAGTTTAATATTTTTGAAACATTTTTTTTGCCATTTTATTGTCTTGGTAATCTGTTTTTTAAAAACAAAAATTTTTCTTAAATAAATTTTTTAATTGTTTATAATCGTAATTTCCCTGGGAACACGATGGTGCAATTATTTTTTTGCTACTTGCCGTAGTTTACGAGATATTTGCGAAAAACCTTATTTTTTACGGGTTTTTTGACCTTTTGACCCCTTGCCTGATCACCTAGGTCAAAAATGTTTGCGGATTCGGATTCCTGAGGGTCGAAAACATATTTGCGCCCAGGTTTGATCGACAGAGGAAAAAATGGAGGTTCAGCCTTCATTTCAATGGACTAAATACATACAGTAATATTATATATATATTTTATGCCTATACATATTATTCTCCAAACGCAATTAGTAGCAAGATTCTATATATTTTAGTAATTAAGCAGTGTTTTTAAGTTAAAACGACTCGTCAAAGTAAAAAAATATTTCAGGTTAGGTATATATTTTTTTTACTGAAAATAGCAGTTAATTTACATTATCGGATTGTTAATGTGAAAATATAAACATTAGACTGTTGACTATTCCATGTTATACGTGTTTTAACGTCACTTTTGAAGAAGAAACTACATGTAATTTTAAAAACCGTATTTCTGTTTTTATAATGAAGGAATAGTAATTATAAGATTGTTTAAGCTTATTAACTAAAAATTATTGCCTACTCAATAAAAAAATATTATTGTCCTCGATAATCTATTACTGATTAATAAAATATTTACTCTCTTTCCTTATAAGATTGTATGTACACAAATTGGAGCCGTTCCTGAAAAATCGGACGAATATCCGGTGCAGCGGAATTATTAGACTTGAAGCGTTGGCCGCTAGAACAGCACCTGCCGGGGTCCCGTTTCGTGACTCACGCTGGGCGATATTTTTTGTACAAAATCCCGTCCTTAAGTGGCATTTGTGCTCCTGTAATCTCGTGCTAACGCTTTCCCTATTTGTTCAGTGCATCTATTTTCGCAGTCTCGCGATTACATCCTTGCATGTAGATACTTTATGTCAGCATTCCTATTTCTCTTTAGTCTTAAGATATTATTTTGATGAATTGTATTATTTATACTCGTACGTCGTCCATATGTTTTGATTCGTAGATGGCGCGTGCTTGATGTACTAACGTAATACTTACTATATTTTTTCTTTAAGTAAGGATGATAAATGAGACACTGTTCAGATATCTATCGGTTTGTGTTGGTTTTGTGTAAACGTTGTATCACAAGGATCTATCGAGTTTCTACTTGACAATGTTGTGTAGGAGCGGAGTCGTTTAGGAACGAAAAAATGTCGATTTCTTCCAACACGATCGTGAAACTGATGTCCAGATGTATTTCAGTACAAATCTAGTTATTTACTTTTTTGCTAATACTCCACTTTTAGGTTTGTATCCCTCTGATTAGCGTTTCAAGAATGCAATCAGCTTTACGTGCATCTAAGCTCTCAGTTCTTATCTCAGTCTCAATTCTCTGTCTCGCTCACACTGAATAGATGTTTATTACACTCTTTATTGCGCATAAAGTGGATGTCATAGAGAAATATTCTCCCGCTTTGAATTTTTTGATAAGTACCTACTTATTACAGGTTTTGAGTAAAAAAAATTAAGTTCAGGATCATACATGCATATAGTCTTCTTTTCAATCTCATTTGATTTTGCACATCTAGTAGTTTCCCATAATTTTCTATTGGATGACAAAAAATTCAAAGAGGCAAGAACATTCCTAATAAGCGTTCAAGTTTTTTTTGATCAAAAAAATGTACTTAAAAAAGAGTCTAATAAAAAATGTGCAGGGGGTAGTTCATTTCAACGTCTTATAATAGGACGAGGACAATAAAAAAATATCGTCTAGAAGAAGCTTTATCAGCCTACATATCATGACAAATTTCACTTTCTAAATTTCAAACTGTTTGGAAATAAATAAATAAAACTTTATATATTTCACCCCCTTTTAAGGGGTCGTAACTCTTCTAAGAGGGCTTAAATAAAAAAATTGTATATGAAGGACCCCTATTAAAAGTGTTTAAACAATTGACCCTCAAATTTTTTGCACATTATTCGGGATCACCCTGTACATATATGTAGGTTTTATACACATTAAAATTTAGCCAAATGATTTAACGAGCGTTCAAATAATAACGAGGTCGAAGTTGGCTCTGACACATTGGACGTGGAGAGTAGCTTATAGCGACCAACTTAACCTCATTTCTCAACGAGCTGTATAGCAGCTGTCAGTTTCAATAACGTTAATGACTATATAACTTTATTTTAAAGAATAATCGTGATAATAATAACAAACAATTAAAGGAGCTGCGGAAAGTGTCCCCCTCCTTGTTATAACAATAAATTAAAGCAGCTGCTGAACGTATCCCCCTCCTTGTTCCAAGCACTTTTCACACCTGTTCCTCAAAGAATTAAAGACATTTTCTACGATGCTCGAGGTATTGTTAATTTCACGAATCTTGTCTATAAGTCGAGCCTGCAGATGGTTTAAATCAGGAATAGGCAGTTCAAAAATAGTGTTTTTAAGGTAAGGCCACAAAAAGAAATCACACGTCGTAATATCACATGACCTCGGTGGAAATTCATGTTCAGCATTGAGACTTATTAGTCGATTTTGGAAAACTTCCCTCAACATATTCATCGTCTCGCCTGCCGTATGTGCCCTTGCGCCATCTTGTTGAAAGTAAAAGTTTGTAATTTCGTTTTCTTCCAGCTGGTTAACAAAAGGAGCGATAATTTCTTCTCTATACCTTTGCGCAGTAAGAGTACCATTAAAAAAAATAGGTCCATAAATCCCCCTTCGATTGAGGGCACACCAAACTCCAATTTTTTGAGCGAGTTGGGGGGCCTCGACAAAAAAGTTATCTGGTTTTTCAGAAGACCACATTCTCATATTCTGTGAGTTTACGTAACCACTTAAATGAAACCAGGCTTCATCAGAAAAAAAGGTGATATTATGAAGTTCGCCGTAGTTGTTTAAAAACCATTCACAAAATACAGCCCGTCGCGGAAAATCAACTTCATGAAGTTCTTGCTGACAAGTTAAACGATAGGAGAACAAACGCAAATCTTTTTTTAACACTGTGTGGCAGGTGCCGACTGATACTCTCACCATTTGTGATAAAACACGTACAGAAATTCTTGGCGCATTTTCCATTATTTGTTGGACATTTTCTTTTAATTCTTCAGTCCGCTTTTTAGGTCGGCCGCTTCCTTCTTTTCTTGTTACACTGCCCGTTTCACGAAAAACTAACACGCACTTGAACTGAATGAACTGCACTTTGAAAAATTTTGTACTCAACAACGCCGGGAAATTGATTTTGAAATTCTATGAAACATTCCTCAATAGAATACTTACATATTCCATCAATCTTGCGTCCATTTCTAAAGTAGGACTCTATGATAAACACTTTTTGTTCTTGAGAAAACACCATTTTAAACGCTTTTTAAAACGAAAATATTCAAATTGATAGCGGCGATATAGCGCTTTGACAGATGACGTCTAAGTTCATTTGCTATACGCTACGCCCTACGTCCAAATTTTCAGAACCAACTTGACCACGTTTTTATTTGAACGCTCGTTATAATTATTGCAAAAATATATTCATAATTCAAACTTCAACCTACAAATAAAATTTTATGTTTTGCTTTAATTCTAAATTTATTTATACTACAACCAGTACAATCACAAATAAAATATAAAATATCTCCTTATCTCCTAAGAGAACAAATGGAGGTAAAACAGTAAAAAAGTTATTTTATTGGTATTGACCTGAACAACACTCAAATTTTTTCGTGAATGAATAGAAATCCCTTATTTATGGTCAACATCTGACATATACGTGTGGCGCCTGGTGTCTTTGCCTTTTCTCCAAAAATAAGGTATAAACTAATAAATAAGACATTGTGCCTACATGCATTGTAGCTTTGACAATACCTACAGAATAAACAGAACCATTTTTTATAGTTTTAGGCCTGTAAATTATATAAATTCTAAGTAAATCTTGAGATTTATTAAATGATTATGCGTCTCTCTTAGCTCAGTACTTTTATCTTGGGCCCTTAAAGTTTTATATTTTGGATTTGTAGGTGTTAGAACTGTGTTTTATTTTAAATTCGTGCGTTTAAGACAATTAGCCCAGGGCGGCCGAAACCTTAGAGACGGCCCTGCCTCCTGTGACTTCTCTGTCAGTTTCCAAGATACCAATACATTCAGCACCAAAATGGTCCTCACTGTACATGTGTTTAGTAGGTTCCTATTACTTCTTTTGGTTTGGAAAAATATCAGAGAAAAACATTATTCAGACTTGATTTTCAAACACTTCAAATTTATAACTTGCTGAGTTGACATTCGACCATTAGAACTTGATTCATTAACTTGATCTGAAACCGAGTTTTTTTTTAATCCACCACACAATTCAGTCAGTAATTCAAAAAATATTCAAATATCAATACAAGTACAGCAGGTACTTCTGGTGATTTATAAAAATAATATTAAAGAAAAAAATCAAAAGGCTTGTAGAGTTCCATACTTGATTTGATCTTGATTTGATTACTGTTCTGATTAAATAATCAAATCAGTATAAATATACTAACTTGACTTGAAATCGAGATTCTCTTCAATCGCTACTTGAATTGATATTCGCTAGAACTTCAAGCAATCCAAAATTGCCGGAATATTGTACTATATTTTTTATGGTTTTAAAAAATATTAAAGAAAGTGTACTCTTGAAAGAACGACTTTTTTTCGCGCACTTGAAATACAGTAGGTATTGTTTGACTTGATATTATGCCACTATTACCCGACTCGATTTCAAGTCACGTAGTTTGAAAATAAAGTCAAGCCTAATCAGTAAGTTAATATGTATATTGATAGTTCCTTCGCTTCATGCATCTTGCTTTATAGGCAGAGGAAAAAGCCGACCATTTTGCCAAAGTAAACAACGAAAAGTTCCAGAAGATTTGGGAGTTGAATACGGAGAGCTGCCAAAAGGTGTTGAGGAAGATTGCTCAGACTGATAAGATTTTATACGAACAGCAAATGGGGATCCAGTGGGTACCTCCTATATACCATGTTTTGAAAATGAAGCATTTGCAGAGTTTCAAAGATGCCCTCGTGCTTACAGGTACCTAATACATGTAACGAAAAAAAGAAAATGTTCTGAATTTATTAAAATGTTCCTTAATGTTAATTTAAGTTTAATGTTGAGTTAAAATAAGCTGAAAACAGTTTTCCGACAACTACAAACGAAAACAGTACAGGGGGTTAACCCTGAAATTTGAAATGTGTATTGTATTAGAAATTGAATTGTGATGCTAAAAGTAGTTTCAGTATGTAATACTCCAGTATATATGCCTTAAAACTATAGCATCCCCCTTACACAGTTTTAAAGTTATAATAGTCTTAAACCATTTATTGTTAGACACACTGGCATTAAAATACACTACACTAGATACAATATTTTTAGCGTTAAAAATGGGATGCTGAACTAGTATCAAGAAGCCAATGTTGCATTGGATCCCCTCTCTTCGTTTTAAAGTTTTAATAATTCCATAACCATTCTAGTGCTAGTTATAAAATATGGATGATAAGTAGTTTATACAATGGTAGTACTAATTGTAGTCTTTTTGATATTAAAAGCTGTAGCGCTAATACGAGGTATATTCAGAAAGTAACCGAACTTTATTTTTTTAAACTTTGTTATTAATTTTGTACATTACTGGTTCTTGTCCCTTTCAAAGTACTCCCCTTCTCTATTCACACACTTTTCTCAGCGGTGTTTCTATTTCGCGAATGAGATAAGAATTCAAAATCTACAATTCCATTAAATTTGAAAAAAACAGTGAGCATCACTTTGACATTGGATCGAGACTGACTTGCTTTCTTGGGGAGTGGAAATCATTTGTCAATCCATTGTAATGATTGAACTTTTGTTTCAATCTCGCACGGTGGGGATAAACGGACAAAAGTCTTCGTAAGGCATAAATTTCGATGAATCTTGATAATTTTTCTTTTAAATTACACACAGACCCTGTGACCATACCTAAATTAAAGAAACTTTCATGTGTATTATATGAATTATCAAAGTATTTTGCAAGTTCACTTCGGAAAACAACAAAACAGGTACAAACAAAAACACGATACAAAAACTTTAGTCCACACACAAATCTTAAACCCACAAACTCTAAACTCACAAACCCAAACCCAACCCACAAAACCCAAAACCACAAATCTCGAACCTATAAAACTCAAACCCACAAATCCCTAACCCTTAAAACCTAAATCCACAAACCTTAAAATCTTAAAAACCAAAATCATGAACTCCCTAACCTATACAGGGTGTCCCACCACAAGATCAGTCAATGGATATCTGGGGAACCGCTCTAAGGATTTTTTTGAAATTATGATGATATAGACTGTGGGGCCTACCAAGCTAAAATATTTTCAAGGTCATCGTACTTCCGGTTATACCGGAAGTCGATACTAGCTTTCTTATTTTAAATGAAACCCCCTATATACAGGGTGTCTCATAATTAGCTGCCAACTCTGAACAGGCCGATTCCATGATCATTAAAAAGTAAAAAAAGTCTTCTAAGTAAAAATGTTCATATGAACATGGGTCCGGAACTGCTTCCTAAGGGCACAGGGACCCATTGAAGAGGGAGGAATGGAAATCATTTTTTTGCAATATCTCTCAATCGCGTTGTGATAAATGAATGAAATTTGGTATACACAGCTAAATTTTGATGAGCAATTTGATGGACTAATCCATTTATTTCCACAAGGTCCATTGGGGTGGGTACGGGGGGGCCCTTGGTACTTTGCGTGTGTAACTTTTTCATCTTTGACTTTTTAACAAATTGGACAGCAAATTCCGTTTTCCCGAACTGTTTTACGTTAAAAAGGTACTCTTGTTTCAAATCGTTATCTTTAACGGTTTCTGAGAAAATCGCTCTTGAATTAATCCCACTTTGGTCAATTTCATAGTAATTTAAACAAAATTATCAAGGTATTCTTATGTCAAAGTATTGTCAACCCGATTGCCAATTTAATAGTTCTAAGCGAAAAAAATGGAAGAGTTTACGGGACAAGAGTTAGTTGATATGATATTTATTTATGGCTTTTGCGATGGTAATGCTGCAGCGGCAGAACGCGAGTACGGGAGAAGGTTTCCAAACCGAAGGCTGCCATCAAGGAGGACATTCCCTACGGTATTCCGCAACTTAGCTGCAACCGCCACTTTTCGAAAGGCACCGGGTCAAGGACGTCCCAGGATTAATAGGGAAGCGGAGGTCCTTGACGCTATTGAACAAGATCCTACGACTAGCATACGGAACATTTCAAGGCAAATAAATGTTCCTCGGCCAACGGTACTACATATCTTAAAGATTTCCTTAACAGAATTGATTAGATGTGCTACTAACATTTCAGGTTGGAAGAATATTAAAGCGACAAGGTCTACATGCCTATCACTATCGACGTGTACATGGCTTGATACCAGAAGATTTTGCGCCACGTATGCAATTTTGTCGCTGGATTTTGTCGCTGGACAACGAGCAAGCTTCCAAAATTTTGTGGTGTGACGAAGCTACTTTTACCCGAAATGGAAAATTAAATTTTCATAATTCTCATTATTGGGAAGAAGAGAACCCACATGTTGTTCGGAGAACAAACTTCCAGCAACGGTTTTCCATAAATTTATGGGCGGGAATAATTCACGACACTCTGATTGGACCTATTGAAATTCCACAACGTCTCAATTCAAATCTTTATTTAAACTTACTTCAAGAAAATCTTCCCCAAATTCTCGATGATCTGCCTCTAAATTTACGACGTAACATGTTTTTTCAACACGATGGAGCCCCGGCACATAGTGGTCGCAATGTTCTAAATTTCCTAAACGAAAATTTCGCTGGACGGTGGATAGGGAGGCACGGACCGGTAGCTTGGCCGCCGCGTTCTCCCGACCTAACCCCGCTGGACTTCTTTTTCTGGGGATATCTAAATCAAAAAGTTTACGCCACCGAAGTCGATACCCGTGAGGAATTGCTGCAGCGTATCAATGATGCAGCCAATGAAATTCGTCAAAACCGTTTTAGCATCTTAATAGCTTCGAGAAGTGTTACACGTAGGGCAAGACTTTGTATCAGAGAAGGTGGAGGGTTTTTTGAACAGTTTTTAAAATAGCTTGTTGTCTGTTATCAAAATTAAGTTTCCATCTTATGATCCCTTCGAAAAGTGACGGTTGCAGCTAAATTGCGGAATACAGTGAGGAATGTCCTCCTTGATGTCAGCCTTCTGTTTGGAAACCTTCTGCCGTACTCGCGTTCTGCCGCGCAGCATTACCATCGCAAAAGCCATAAACAAATCATCATATCATAATTGTTCTACATCAATAATGTGTATTACTGATTACGTATTAAATTATTATTATTATTTTTTGTTTAAATTACTATGAAATTGACCAAAGTGGGATTAATTCAAGAGCGATTTTCTCAGAAACCGTTAAAGATAACGATTTGAAACAAGAGTACCTTTTTAACGTAAAACAGTTCGGGAAAACGGAATTTGCTGTCCAATTTGTTAAAAAGTCAAAGATGAAAAAGTTACACACGCAAAGTACCAAGGGCCCCCCCGTACCCACCCCAATGGACCTTGTGGAAATAAATGGATTAGTCCATCAAATTGCTCATCAAAATTTAGCTGTGTATACCAAATTTCATTCATTTATCACAACGCGATTGAGAGATATTGCAAAAAAATGATTTCCATTCCTCCCTCTTCAATGGGTCCCTGTGCCCTTAGGAAGCATTTCCGGACCCATGTTCATATGAACTTTTTTACTTAGTTTTGATTATAGAATCGGCCTGTTCAGGGTTGGCAGCTAATTATGAGACACCCTGTATTATTGCATTTTTGGAAAGAGCAAGTTGAAAACATAGCACACTCCATACTTAGGATTTACCGGTTCCGAGATATTTTGATTTTTAAGCAAAAATTGACAGATGCAGACTGTCAGCAAAATTTAGTTTTCCGGGAAACATGAGTTTATAGAATTTGACATGAAAATTTTCCAGTTTTTATAGAGCGTGGTCAAAAAAAAATCGAATTAGAAGTTCAGAAATTGTGGAAAACTCGAAATTTTTAAATGGAAACTCCTAATTTTTTTAACGTATTTGCATTCTGCACTAAAATTAAGTGCAACTTTGTTAACGTTTCCCTATACCTAAACCCAGTGGTTTTAATTTTATTTCCGAATAAACATTTTCTTTTTCTTAAAATGATGTTTCCATTTGTTTCGCACATTTTAGGTTGGCCGTGACAGGTAAGTAACAATCAACATGAAAACTACTGTCACAGGTTTTTAATTGTCAAATTTATTTAGTTCCTTGTGGGTCGCTGCTCTAATAGAATCCGATGATAGATGCTATTTAATTTGGGACACTAAAAAATAGTGTGTATAGTACGCCAGTAACAACAAAGGAAAATTGTATGCATAGAGTAAGGCAATCATTTGAGCATCTATCACCGGATTCTATTAGAGCAGCGACCCACAAGGAATTAATCCGAAGGTGTGAAAAATGTTTAGAAGTTGAGAAATTGAAGGAAGACATTTTGAACATTTATTAAAATAAATTAGACAATTAAAAATCTGTGACACTTCTCATGTTGATTGTTACTTACCTGTCACGGCCAACCTAAAATGTGCGAAACAAATGGAAATATCATTTTAAAAAAAGGTAAATGTTTATTCGTAAATAAAATGAAAACAACTGGGTTTAGGTATAGCGAAACTTTAACAAAGTTGCACTTAATTTTAATGCAGAATGCTAATAAGTTAAAAAAATTAGGGATTTCCATTTTAAAATTTCGAGTTTTCCACAATTTCTGAACTTCTAATTCGATATTTTTTTTTGACCACCCTGTATAAAAACTGGAAAATATTCATGTCAAATTCGATAAATTAGGTCTTCCTCTACAAAATTTTTACAAAAAAAATAAACTCATGTTTCCGGGAAAACTAAATTTTGCTGACAGTCTGCATCTGTCAATTTTTGCTTAAAAATCAAAATATCTCGGAAACAGTAAATCCTAAGTATGGAGTGTGCTATATGTTTTTAAGTTAAAAATAGATGCTCTTTCCAAAAATGCAATAATATACAGGGGGTTCTATTTATAATAATAATAATATCTCTACTCCTCATTCTAACTACGAGAATTAGCCCAGAAGTCGGAGACTTGTGCGGGAGAGGAGGCGGCATATTATTATTACGCAGGCCGCATTTGCGCCCAGGAACGACTTATGTTGGTAGGCCCTAACCATCATTCAGTGCAGGAATGAGGGAAACCTGGAAAACCTCATTAATTAGGGGGGTGGTCAAATGCCAACCGGTGTCAATCTCTCACATTGACCCAAGCCAACATTCTTCCACCCTACCATACCTGCACAGAGGGTGCCAATCCTCCGTACAAGCATAGCTAATCTACGGTCTACCGGCTGCGGGATTCGAAACCCGGGCAGATCGACACATCGATTTAAGTACTGACGCCTTAAACCGTGCGGCTATCGACTGTGTCAAAATTTAAAATTTATTTAAAATAAGAAAGTTAGTATCGACTTCCGGTGTAACCGGAAGTACGATGACCTTGAAAATATTTTAGCCACATATCCATCGATGAAGTTCGTGGTGAGGGGACACCCTGTATACTCCAAACTCATATAGCCCAAACCAAGAAATCCCAAATTCACAAAACCCAAACCTATAACCACATAATTTTTTTTTATCAAATCTCAAAACAGTAACAAACCATTGCGTTTACACTCGAGATAATCAGATCGCTGATTGGTTGATTGTTGTGAAAAATTACACCAATCATGAGCCGGTAAAACGAAATGTTTTAACGTAGTTTTGACCTTATTGTTTTAGTAATTTTTAATTTTACCATAATTTGTTGCCAACGCGAAGAATGTAAAATTACTGTTTCAAACCAAATTACTGGTTCCGTGGTTTGTAATCATGTTTGAAGGGTCTATATCAGCAATTAGTCCAGACGGTATCTGTTTCAAAAAGCCATATTTGGGTGAATCGTACATCCACGGAGATTTTTATCTTTTTGGCTTTCACATATCGCGCATAAAAAAAACGTGGGCTTAATTGATCAATCGCTGTTTTTTTTTTAAAGAAGCGTCTTTCCAAGAATTTTTAAAACCTGCTTTAAAAAATTTGATTTGACTGAATATTCACAAAGTTCTAATTGTTTATAAGTACAAAAATTCGAACAATGTTTAAACAAGCGTCAGAGCTCTCCTAATTGAAGGATTCGGATTTTTCAAAAAAAGTTTGAAAGCTTGAGAGCCCTTCTATATGCGATTAAATTTTTAAGTATCTAAGGGCCTTGGTTATTGCTGTGCAAAATTTTGAAAATTTGCAAATTTTTTTTCAAAATCTGGATTGCAAAATTATTATGCTAAATCTATCGAACCGATTTTGATGAAATTTGGTGTGATAATTCTACATAAGATTCTAATAACTGTTAATAACACAACTTTTTGCAATAGGTGAATGTTCAGTGTCTCAAAGCATTACAAGCACAGTCTCGTCAGCGATTACACTAGCTAGAGATAAAAAAGCGGAAGAATTCCAGTTCAAATATTTCGCTGCCTTAAACACTGACGAACTAGACGCCAATCCAGTATATAGAAGGTTGCTGAAATACATACTCACCCACGTCTCGGATAAATCTGGTTTCTTGACGGAGAAACGACTGAAGGAGCTTTTAATGCCGTATGAAGATGATCAGAAGACGTTGGTTCGATTGGATAACGTCTTTGCTGTAAGTATGAAGATATAATTCTAAAGAAGGGGGGGGGGGGACAATATTAATGATATTTTTGAAATTGCTGATATACAGGGTGGGCTATTTTAATAACCCCACGTTAATATCTACGATAGTTTAGGTTCTAGCTAAAAATGACCTCTATAAAAGTTGTAAGGTTTGAGAGGGAAAACTGACCTTAAATTTGACCTTTAGGTCTCCGGTGAAGGTCAGCCAAGGTCAACTTCAAATTTTTAAATTGGGACCCCTATTTTTGACCCCGGAATTGAAAAGAGCGGTACATTTTACGTTCAGTTGGTGTCTTTCGTGCCTCATATGGTGATTCTGAGGCCAACATTACCTTTGTTACTGTTGAAATAAATGTAATTTTTAAATTTACATTTAAATTGACTGTTTATTAACGATTATTACACATTTGACTTTGAAATGTCTTGTTCAGATCACATAAAAAAGTAACGTTATACCACCCCGAATATACAATTTCATTCGGTATAAAAACGAGGGGTTTCTTTTAATACAAATCAATTTGACCTTCAAGTGATCTTAAGGTTGAATTTAAGGTAAGTACCAGTTAGCCTCTATTACACACTACAAATTTTAAAGAGGTCTTTTTCAATAGGAAACAACCGCGCTGGGAGTTACTGACTTGAATATTGTGTAAAAGGTAATGTTGACCACAAAATGACGAGGTTATTTTGACCCATAACAAAAGACAAGATCTGAACATAAAATTTTTGCGCCCTTTTCAATTCCGAGGTCAAAAATAGGGGTCCCTATTTAAAATTTGAAGTTGACCTTGACCTGAAATCCTGCAACTTTTATAGAGGTCATTTTTCGCTACAACCTAAACTGTCGGAGATATTGGCGTGGGGCGATTAAAATGCACACCCTGTATATCCCTCAAAATTTTCAACTTGATTAGCGACTAGTTCTACAATCATTATCTACCAAAATTTAAAATTCTAGTTGCGGTATTTAAGTAAGGTAGATTTGGTTCTATCGCCTTATTTTGATCCAGGAATCTACATTAACCATTGGTGGGCCAATATCAACACTTTTGAAGGGTATCTCGTATTTCTCAAGGAGACAGACAAAAACTAATTAATATCTCTTGTGCACAAGTTCAATTTTAGGTAACAAACGATAACATTTTTTTGGCCGCTTCTTTAATGTCGATTACTTAACTTTGTTAATTGCGATTATGCATTGCTTATTTTACCATTATTCCAAAGAAACCATAAGTTCAAATTGCTTTAATTCCATGTTTTTTTTCCAATTTCTGAAAAAATATCAGCAATATTTTTTAAATTAGTCAAATAGCAAGAAAAAATTCTTAAATTATGAGAATAGGTACTTAAAATCAAGACAATGTAAACTAGTGGAAAAAATTAAGGGATCAAAAAAAAATCTAAATTTTCTTCGATTTTTCAAATGGCTGTATCTTTGATAAAAATAGTCGTTCGAGTAAAAAAAAGCAGTTTGAAGCTTGAAGTTTCTAATTTTTGGATCTTGCAAAAAAATTTTTTCAAGTAACACATATCGCGCAATCTTATCATGAAAAAAAATTTTTCGAAATTTGTTTCGATCTTATTTTTGGTGTACGGACTTGAAAAAAATTTTTCCAACTTAACCACCTTATGGATTAGATAGGTTGTTCATTTAGCTTCAATTTCTTTATTTTTTGGTCTCGATACGACCATTTCTCGCTGAGCTATGGGACTTTGAATGAAAATGAATCATTTTCTCTTTGTTCATCGATATCTCAGAAACCAATGGCTGCACAGAAAATCGACGGTGGGTGTCAGAAACTTGAATGAATTCTCTAAAAGATCCTGGCACGGTTTTTTAGAAAAAAAAAATTTATCCTTAACATGACTGAAAAATCGTAAAAAATAGGACTTTTAGGGGTCTTGTAGAAAATCACGCGTAACATTGAGAATATTGGGAAAATGACTAATGTTAAGTGTGCCTTTTACAGGTCATTAAAAAATGTTTTGCCTAGTATATTAAATAGTACAAAAATGGATGGCCGGGTTCATTACGCATGACTTTTGTTATTGACATTTTGTTCTATACCTCGACAGAAAGGGTGGGGGAAGCCCCTAATGTCTAATCAGAAAAATGTATTTTTTTAACTGGCTCATCAAAAGCCGATAGTGTTATACCTCGTTGGAAAGGTCTTTTCATGCTTCATCTCGTGGTGAATGCGTAATGTCATTTACCTCAATATGGAGACCTACAGATGGCGTTATTTCAAAAGAATGCCGTTTTATAGATTTTTCTCAAAACTATTGTGTAAGTTTGAAATTTATAACGAAAGTGGTGTTTATTTATTGGCGCTATTTTTCCAAGTCTAGGTTGTGTCACGTCTTCTTAAAAAAGTGAAATAGCCGGATAAAACTTAAGAGCATAAAAATAGCTACATTTTGACGCCAAAAAGGATTCGATATCTTTTTTTGGTATCAAGTATAAGCAAAATAAATAATGATAATTAATTTGAAGAACACGACGCTAACGAGAGAGAGAGAGAGAGATAAAGCATGAAAAGTCCTTTCCAGGTATAACACTATGGGCTTTTGATGAGACAATCCTTAAAAAAATGAATTTTTCTGATCAGACATCCTTTCTGTCAAGAGATAGAACAAAATGTCAATGATAAAAGTTATGCGCTATGAATCCGGCTATCCATTTTTGTACTATACCTGAATAGGAAACATTTCTGAGAAAAGTTCAACTCTGTTTTGGTATGTAGATTGCGCCCCCTAGGGGCCGAGCTACGAACTTGAAAACCATTTCCAGCGATTTCTCTTAGTTGCTTTATTAATTAAAAGTTTCCCGAAGTTCTAGGGCCTATACTTTCCCTAATATCGTCCCTCGTGGACCTTAGTTTATTATATCTCACCAATGATGATTAATAAGTTCAAAACCGGTGGTGGAGAATGATCCTAGTTGTTTACTAGATATTGCGGGTATAATTTAATGCTGGTCGGATTATTAGTCTGCAGAGTAGCTCTTGTTCGTGTCATCATCAGTTAAATTCAAGTTTGTCCAGGACCGATGAAAGTATATCGGGCCACTATGTATACTATACTAATTTAGGAGAAATAATGAAATCGATATTGCACATTCAACTGTTTAATTAAACTCCAAAGTTAACGTATGTAAAAGTTAACCACTCCGTATAAATATTTGGCATTCAGTCAAAAATTATGAACGATTTGACAAATTGTCAGAAATGCTGAAACTTTCCTCTGATAATAGGTCAAGCAAGTTTCGATCATTTGTATTAAAAAAATGTGGTTTCGGCAACCTATCTCCAAACATCCTTTTGAACATTTTCAAAAACTTGAACGAAGACGAATTGAGAAGCAGTATCATCCCTGTCTGTCAGCAGTGGAGGGACGTCGCGGAAAATCCAACTTTATGGAAAAGCCTTACGTTCTCTGGAAAACAAATAGAAACTGCGACTATCTGCGATAAAATCTGGCAATACAAAAATGTGGAGAGGATCTATCTGAGAAACATCTTGGAACCTATAGTTGTCCTTAGGCAAATATCTAGGTACTCTGACAACTTACAACATCTCACATTAAGGTACTGTTTAAATATTTCCGAGGATGCTCTGAGACACCTCTTGTTTACTTGCAAAAACCTGAAAACTCTGGATCTGAAAGGAACCCCAATCAAGTTTTGCATATTTTACGAAGAATTGGCCTGTGCGAAAAATTTGTCGAGCATAAATTTGAGTGAAAATGCGCATTTGACTAGATCGAACATATTAACAGTAGCCATCAATTGCCGCAACTTGGATGAATTCCATTTGTCTACGTTTAATCCGAAGAACAGAAATTTTCTGAGCGACTCTGATTGTTATTTCATTATATCTTCCTTGGTGCACGATCTGAGGAGTATTTCCCTGGATTGTTCTACTCTAAACAGTTATTCATTTTCCTTCATCCTTCGATGCAAACATCTTCGTCACTTACACTTGAATTATGCCTACAATTTTGAAGGGAGCCTGTTTGAAAGTATTTGGAAAAACTTGCCGCACCTTTGCACGATGAAGATTCGGCACGGGCATCAGATCAGTGATCTGAACGTGAAGACGCTCTTCGAGGAAGGTAAGGACGTGTTAGGAAAAATACAGGTGATTGACTTCACAGGGTGTTGCAAAATAAAAAACGCGGGCGTAGATGCCATTGCAAACTGTTGTAAGAAACTAAAAACTCTCGTCCTAAGGAACTGTAAGAATGTCACTAGCATATTTTCTGTTTTGAAAAATTGTAAGCATCTGGAATTGTTGAATGTGGCATTTTGTGAAAATTTAATAGTTGATGATTCGCCTGTACCTCAGCGACTAAAGTTGCTGTTTATCAGCAGTAACAACGATCTCAAGGTTTTTGCTGACTTAGTGAAGAGACAGAACAGTTCGACTAAAATAAAAATCTGTGTATCTGAATTTAATAAACGTACAATAAATTATGAATAACACTCGATATACTTTTTATTTCGTTATACGAGATCTGTTCAGAAAATAACCGAACTTTATTATTAATTTTTATACATTGTTGGTCCTCGTCTCCTTCAAAGTACTCCCCTCCTCTATACACACACTTTTTCTATTTCGCGAAGCACTCTTGGATAGCTTCATTTGAAATGGTGTTTAAAGTTTGTCACGAATTTGCTTTGATATCATCAATAGTCTAAAACGGCGTCCTTTCAGCATTGATTTTAATTTCGGGAATAAGAAAAAATCGCATGGAGCCAGGTCTGGCGGGTAAGGAGGGTGAGGGAGACAGTAATCTAATTTTTGACATGGTGCAACAACTATGAGTTGTCTCGCCACAACTCTGGCATCTTACTGCTGATTTTTTCATGTAACCTTTTAACTGTCGAAAAAAAAACAGTGAGCGTCACTTTGACATTGGATCGAGACTTTCTTGGGTAGTGGAGATCTTTTACCAATCCATTGTAATGTCTAAACTTTTATCTCCATGTTGTAGCTGTAAACTCAGATTTCGTCTCCCGTTATGATCCTCTGAGTGAATGTTTTGATCGTCATTGGGTTGTTCAAGGAGTTGCCGACAAATTTCCACACGATGTTCTTTCTGTTGTTCGGTCATCAAATGAGGAACAAATTTTGCTGCAACTCGATGCATGTTCAAAATTTCATGACATGACCCAATTGAGGTGCTGACCTCTTCTGCAATATAGCGATTCAAAAAGTTTAAAAAGTTGTGTTCTTGATAATATGCACACGTGTCCACGCCACTTGTGAGATAGTGCACTTGGCGCGTTTTTTAACGTGGTTTCCCCGGTAGACCTATTTCACGATCTATTGTGGTCTGTTTAATTAAATAATATTGTATTAAATAAAAAATTATACTATTGGAAATGATGAAAGCGGTGTGAATTATAAGTAATTGGGGAAAACTATTCGTCTGATTGATAATTATCTAATGGAACTTCAAGTGTGATGTTTTCTTCTTCTTCTCTCCCTTCTTCTTCTTCTTCTTCCTGCTGGATACAAGTTAATTGTTCTAACAAAAAAAAAAATTAAAAACTGTTGTTTTACCCCTCCTGAAAATTATCTATATCTCAGAAATGGTGATTCTTAGGAAAAAAAGTGTAAGGATAATTTTTATAGATAATTGCATAATCTACAATTTTTGTCCGATCTATTTTTATGATAAAACTTACCGTTTGGCTGAAAAATGCAAAAAACCCATATTTGCGAACTTTGACCTTGAATAATTTTTTTTTGCAGATGTGGGATTAATGGGGACTTATCACATTTCATTTATAATCCAACATTTGTACCAATTTTCAGCTTTATGCGAATTATTGCAACCTTGAATGTCTATTTTCGCCCGGTTATAAATAAAAATCAGTTGTATATACTTTTGAGTTTTAAAATTAGTTATACAGGGCATCATGTTATTGCTAACCAGAAATATTTTAGGTTACAACTTTTTTGAAATTAGGATTTTCTCTTATGATTTTATTCTTCACAGAAGAAATATTGTTGTCAAAACTCGTTTCTTCTTTTTATTTTCAAGAAGACGAGCAAACATTGGAGGTTTGTTTAAAACTTACAGAATTAGTTTTGTTTTTTTCTGACAGACATTTGAAATAATATCACCTATTAAAATAATTGTAAAAACTACTTCTTTTGAAAACACCCTGTATAGGTACAAAAGTATGGCGTACAGATGTCACATTTAGTATGCATTGGAGATCTCATCTCATGTATCCACGGATTACTGGGCGAGGAGGGAAAACTTTTAGTTATTTTTTTCTTCATAAACAATTTTTGTAGTGAAATATTGACGATGCCCACTGTTTATAATTATGTTTTTGGGTAAGTTCCCATTAATTAATGATATTATGGGAAGCAACACTTACAATGTGACACACTTTGTATATTTTCTCACCTGCACTCAACACAAATCCACGGTATTTCTGGAAACAGCTCCTTTATACGTCTATGAAAATACCTAATTGATTTTTTTTCTGATTTAAATTAATATTCATCATGATGTTGCCCTTCTAAAAAAATCGAACCATTTGTAACAGTGTTGTTTGAATTAAATTTGAATAAAAAATAAAGCCATTTCAATTACAATTTCTTATTTTCTGCACACCCTGTACGTCATTTATATTTAAATTAGATTATTTAGACAAACAAACAAATAAAGTTTAGTCACAACAGAAAAGCAAAATAAAAAGGGTATGATTTTTAAGTATAGTCTTTCCGAAGTCAGTTGAATATGTATAAAAACGCCTAGCAAAAAAATTAATGAGCTTCATAGGCGCCACTAAAAAAGTTTTCTGCTAAAGGTAAAAAATTATATAATTTGTATATAATGTGCAGAAAATTTCTATTATATGTTCATTTGGCTAACAACATATTTTAATTATTTATGTTCTCAAACAATTTTATTATATTGACGGTAAATTTCGTTTTGTTCCGTTTTAAAAGATCTCCAAAATGTCATTTGGTAATAATATTAGTAAACAAAATAGCTCTCTTATTTCTCCCATTCGCAATTGTAATACGAATGATTAATAGAAAGTGCCTATAATAAATTAAAATTACCTGAATCACAGAAAATTCCGCATTACTGCACTGCTAGGCAATGCGTTAATCACTTGACCACAACTGAGCTTTATTGCCCAGTCGCCCAGTACAGCTGTGTTATACGCCGTTTACCCGCGCGTGCATTCTTCAACTGAGCGTATACATTTCTACCTCTTCCACGTTTAGTTCGACTAGACCTGTATATGGGTATGACTAAATAAATATGGAAACAACTTTTTCAAATATTTCTATGCTGAGTTGTTGTATCAGCGACCGAACCTGGTATATTCTGCCAGCCTCTTGGTTTTTCAAACTATACAACCTAAATGTCTTAGAAGTATTGTCGCTTTGCGACTGTCTATATTTATTCTTTTTAGTCTTTAGGTATCAATGTAAAAGAAGATATAGATCTGCTGATAACTTATTTTATCCCATACTCTCATTGTCCCATCTGTTCTGCTCAGCCAGATCTAGGAATTCAAGCTTCAACGATTATGAGATTTACATCACAAATTTCAAATATATCTGGATTTAGCAGTAAGTATATTTGCTTATCTTGTTTATTTTCATTATGCTTATTCTACTCAAACTAGGTCAATATAGATTTTACAAACGTTTCAGGACACTCCATTAAAATTGGGTACCTACGTACTTTTTGCAAAAAAAATGTGAGAGAAAAGTTTATTTTGAATAAAAATTTAAATCATCATTTTGACAACTAGCAATGGATATAAAAAAATGATTATTTTGCATATCAAAAGGATATTAATTGGATAATTTGCTCACAAGGGAAAATCTGTACACAGGTTCCATTCCGCAACATATAGTACAGGGTTAAATTTAATTTTCACAAAAATTTTTATAAAAATCTCATTACTGGATTTTACATATCGGAATTCCAAAACAATATTTTTCTAACACAGTATGTAACAGTTTCCATGTCAAAAAGATTACACTAACTTGTCAGGACATCATTTCAGTTAAGATTACATTAGTACGCGGCAGTAAATCTAAAAAAAATAAAGACAACAAAACTTTAGTGACGGTAATATACAAGGTGATTCAGAACTTATAAAAAAAATTGGATGTACAGGGGACTCTTACAAATACAATTTTGTAAAGAAAAAATCAATAAGAGCAGTTCGTAAATGATTTTAAAATACACTTCTGCACGGCACTGGAAACTGGTACACTGTAAAAGCTGACCTTGCATAATGCGGCCGGAATGGCGGCAAAGTGTGATAAAAACGGACAAATACTTTCGCATGGAAAGAAATAAAATAGAATTTTATAGCACCTATTTTATATCGGCAAATTCAACTGGTTTTGCCGTTATTGTTATTATTAATTAATAAAGTTAATTTGTGTTTTTAAATAATAAAATAATTTGACAGCCGATGTTACAACAATAATTTTATCCACCGACGGGTAAACACATATTTGGGTCCGTCTTACTCAGTTCCTACGGACTAACATAAATGTTGTCTTGCTTCACCATAAATGAAAACGATATCCATTAACTTCAAGTTGCTATAGGTACACGCAAACCATTTTTGCCACTAACTGCTAAAAAACTATTATAAACACCACAGATAACAGGTAAACACTATTGCAACGACGATTGTAAAATCAGATTTCAGTATTCAAAGTCGCTGAGGCCACGTGGCTCTCCACGCGTATTGCGAATGACGCTAGAGACTACAGCTCATTAGTGTGGATATCTATTTTACGAAACACTTGTTGGTTATACTTGAATACTTCTAAATCCTTGTAAAAATAAATTCATTTGAAGTTGTTCGTTTTTATAGTATCTATGTAAATAATACACAAGGATCAGAATCTGTCTGCACAATTTCAACTATGACAATTTGTTGCGGGTTGCTTAAATATGTGACGTCACGCTAAAAGAGTCTATTCTAGACGACCGGGAGTTTTCAAATCGTGAAGAAGCCACAGAGTGTGCAACTTAAAAAAAAAAACGAAGAGCTGGAAGTAGATTACCAAACATTGCAAAATAAGTGGATTCAAATATTAGTGGCCCAAGAAATAAAGAAAAGCAATAAAGCAAAAAAAGACCAGTGGATGCAAAATACTCAGTAGTTACTTACAAATTAGAGAAATTTTGCACCAGTTTATCCATTTAAAACTTTTTGTACCGAGATCGTGGCGAAATTGACTCAGCCTATAGATATATTTCTAAATTCCGTAAATTTTAGGAAAGGAAACGGAAAATGTAGATTGTCTCGAGTTGCAGCAGGCGTATTATGCCGTTCAGCAACCTGCTCGGCTCATAGACGAAGTCCTTAAGGAACTAGTGCCTTCGGAAAATAACTCGGATGAACAAGAAGCAGACAGTGAAGATTCACTAGAACAGGCTTGTGGTGGAGCTCCGGACGATCAAAAGTAAGTTTATGTTTATTTTGTACATCTGTATGCCAGTACCAAGGAAAATAAAAAGCAAAATCCAATTTCTGTTAATAGTGTTCAACTTATTATAAGCAAAGAAAAAGGAACACACAGACTGTGTAGTTTAAACTATTTATAGACTTTTTTAAATGATATTAATAAATAGTGTGCCATCGAATCTGTACAAAGTTTAAGTTTTCTTTGAGTTTTAGAATCATAATTTTTTTAGTTCTGTTACTCCTAAGGAGAAAAAAACTACCAAAAGGACCTTTGCTGTTGAAGATAGATTCGCATGCGAATATAACCATCAATTGTTAATAAGCCCCGTTTATATTTTGAGAGCATTGAGAGAATTCGTAATGTCCTATTATGAAGAAAAAGAGGGGTAAGTAAAACAAAGATTTTCACTACTGGAATTTTCGCTATTGTCAGTTTAAACACGTTGTGCAAAGCGATTCAGAACCTATGGTTGACCGCCATTACAGGAAAACGGAAGTGATTTTGTGACATAAATACTAGTAACAAACGGACTCTGCCATCATATAAAAGATAGTCTGTAGATATACGCTTATATGTAGGCTTAGTGCGGCGCGGAGTTTAACAGGACCGTAGTCAGATTGCGAATGAAAATATTCATATGTTTACAGAAATATGTCGCAACATAGTACTATTACGAAAGAGCAAGGCTAAGTAGATAAGAGGAAAAAATAAATTTAAATGACACCACTTACCCGATAAGGCTTCTGTGGCATATTGGAAGGATATAGACATGTTACTACGTGCTTTTCTTTAGTGAAACGGTGACACACAAGCATCAGTAGCTTCGTCTAAACGGAATTGTCTGCAATGTTATCGTGTACTGATGTCACTACATTGTTCTAAACCCGATCAACATATCTTAGTCTTGTACTTTCATAAAGATTTTTCGGTTCATATATTTTTCTAAAAACGTACGGAACTTGGGGTTCTCTAGTTTGTTTAATATTTTTGGAATATTGCTTGAAAGAAAGGCGTTTGCAAGTTCATAGAAAAATACAGAGTCTTCAGCGCTGGATGAGGCATGGCTCTTCAACCGGTTTGTGACTTTAGTTTTGTCACAAAAATTTATAATGCGTTCACACACAATACAAAACAGGTCATTTCCTTTAATACGTATGTCCCTGTAACCTTCAGGATCACTGTCAAACCACATTTGAAATAATTCCCGTCTATTTCTTTTCTCTTTTGACATTTCACTTCACTGTTCCCCCCAACTAACAGTTGTTAATGGAAATTATGTTACTGTTTATAAATAATTATTTAAATACACACGCGAGTCAGCTGTGAAGGCCACCGACCCCAACGCTGGCTCTGTTAGACTCTGTACGTGCACTAAGCCTACTTATATGTTTCCTACTCCAATTTACCATTAATTAATTTTTTATAAACATTTTCATAAAAAAACCGCATTTCTTTTAGTTTTTTTTTATAAAACCTAAACTAACGTAGAAATCTGAATGCTATAAAGAGCATATTTGTAAAAATTAAGAAAACCCGGAAAAATCGGAAAATTTGTTTTTTTTTTAATTCATTTTTTAAATTGTAGAGCTGACCCTGTGCACGAAAGTAGTGAATATGTACTTTAAGTGTGCACAAAGGTGGCGCTGCCAGACCATTAGTTTTGGCACAATTGCAATTTGAATTTTTTGTTGCACTATATTTAAGATTTTCTGGATGCGTTGGAGGTGGTCCGATTTTAATTTTTCAGCTAGATTTTAAAAGTAGAAGTATAATACTCAAAACTCCAAACTCCAAACATGCTCAAAAACGGCCTCGAGCGTTTACGCGGTCGTTATTGGGGCAAGATTGGGAGATGAGGGGTAGTAGGGAAACAATTTTGATAAAAAATATGCTGTTGATTAAAGTACTGACGTACACAGTACAATCAACAATACAACGCTGTACAGATAGAAATTAATTAAATTAAACATGTTAACATCATACGAAGCTATGCCATTCATGTTGTGTAAAAATAATTTTGATGACATCACAGTCCTTAGTGAGGTAAAACCATGCAAGATGGGTTTTATGTAAAATTCATTATTATTATTCCGTTTTTCTATACCTAGCGCCCATTTTTGAGCCGTACCATTGCAAACTTTGTTTTTTAAGAGGTACATGGTCGATCACATTAGGGCAAAGTTATGGAATTTGATGATGAATAACTTGGGCAAAAGAAATTTGACATATCTTTTTTCGTTTTCAAGTTATCGTTGAAAAACTGAGAATTTTGATTTTAAAGAGTTACGTTATACAACCCTGTTGCATACATATCTATTTTAGGCTTCCTACCACTGGAGAAAGGCTGCATAGAAAAAGACATACAATTTCTCGATTGCTATCAGAATCTGATATAATGAAATACTGGGACAGGTTTAAAAATGTTTATGATGCAGAACGAATTAGAGTTTGGGATGCATTGTTTGAAGGACTAAAAAAATATCATGAAATCCTGAAAGGTAATGTATCATAACAAGCAATATATTTGTATATTATAACAGCGAAGTAGCGAAAAACATTGAAGAGTGGTCCCTCTCGACAAAATGAAATGAATCCTAATTCTAATCTTTTTTTAAAATTTATTCAGCAACAATCAGACTTTACAATTTTGTAGACTATTTTGCTAATTGAGAGATTAGTAGTCTCAGCTTATGTGTCCTGAATAGACTTCTCCATCAAAAGGTCATACCTTATTCCATTTATCATTTTCACTTCAGTCTTTGATGTGTGTTTCTAGTTTTTGATAATGCTTCTGATTTTATTCCTCAATTATTGCTTGGATTGTTGGGATGCAAAGATCATGATGTATCGTCTTTTTGGTGAAGTACTATGGAGCGCCTATATTGCATGACTATTTTATTGTACTCGTTGTATTAGAGTAATGCTGGATTTACTGGTACAGCCATATAACCAGAAGAAAATGAGAACAACTTTATAAATTAAAGTTTTCTAGCCACATTGGTGACCTCTTAATAAACTAATATATCATTTTTCTATATCTCAATCAATATCCATTAATTTTCAACCTCTCTCTCTATCTACGAGCATATCTTTAATATCTAGTTTTTAGGTCAATCTGTTATATTTTTTCTTATTTTGCGTTCTGGTCAATTAAACTTGAAATTAAGGAAAAGTCTTACGTACTCTATACATGATGTTTGTAGGATTTTAATGTTATTGATTATGAATATTGACCTCTTCTGTGGGTAAAACTCAGATTTGCTTTAATAGGTTTTAAATCTCCACTTTTTCAGCCAATCCTAACTAATATAATAACTAGCCCTTTAGGGATTATCAGAATGACTATGCTGCCTGTAAATGCGCATGTTATAGTATAATTAGAGGTTAGGTTGGGTTACTACTGAACAAACTTTTTGCCTCTACTGGCGTCATAGTTTTTAATCAGGTGCTCAAGAACAGCTGAAGATATAACTTGGTACTTTAAATGTAAAATCTAGTTTTGTCCAAATATCGAGGAGTTTTAATGGTTCCAACTATCAAAAGGTATTATGGAGATAATTTTTTGCACATCAGGACAAATTGTGTTTAATATCAGGCAAGACTTTTGCGTCTCTTGAACATTTTTCATAAAATGCATCATTAACAAGTAAATGCTCAAAAGACATGACAATGTTATTAGTACCTTCATAAAAATGCCCATAGGTAAGGTAAATATTTTTGTGTATTGTCTAAAGCTATTTATTGGTGACTTACTGTTTCTCTACTTATTTAAGTATTTTGCTACCTAAATAATTGTTTAATAGTTCAATTGCATTTAGCATTCTTTATTCAAATAAAAATAGATTTATTAAATTTTTTTTCCAAATATTGAGGAGTTTGAATGGTTCCAATTATCGAAAGGAATTATGGAGATATTTTTTGCAGATTAGGACAAATTGTTTTAATATCAGGAAATACTTTTGCGTCTCTTGAATATTTTTCATAAAATGCAACATTATCAAGTAAATGCTCAAAAGACACGACAATGTTATTAGTACCGTCATAAAAATGTCTATAGGTCAGGTAATTATTTTTTTTCTGTATCGTCTAAAGTTATTTATTGGTAACATACTGTTTCTCTACTTATTTAGGTATTTTGCTACCTAAATAATTATTCAATTGATCAATTGCATTGCATTTAGCATTCGTTATTCAAATAAAAATAGATTTATTCAAAACTTTGTCCAAATATTGAGGAGTTTGAGTGGTTCCAATTATCGAAAGGTATTATGGAGATATTTTTTCCAGATTAGGACAAATTGTTTTTAATATCAGGTAAGACTTTTGCGTCTCTTGAATATTTTTCATAATATTGCCCCTTTACCAGTTAATTGTTCAGGGGTTTTGCCATTTTTTTTGTTCCTTTCTTAAAATTGCCTTTGGTTAGGTTATTTTTTTTTTTTTTTTTTTTTAAGTTTTTTTTTTTTTGCGTTCTTTTTTTTTTCTTTTTTTGGTTTTTTTGTTTCTTAATTATTTTTTCATTTTTTTTCCATTTGCTTTGCTTTTGGCTTTTTTGTTTCAATTAAAATTGGTTTTTTCAAAACTTTGAAATATATAGTGATTTTCAACTACAGTCAATTGTTGAGATGGCCAAATTACTGCTACACGTATTTTGATGTTAAAAAAAATATATTTCTTGTTGGCTTTATATAGTTTTTCCTTGACAGTTAAAACTTCAAACTACTTATTTCCATACTATTAGGTGAGATGAGGAAATGTTGCGTCTGTCTTTTAATTAATCTTTCATGATACCATTTTTGAAACTTTTAACAACTGATTTAGGAAAAGGTTTTATTTTTTTATGTTTACTCTTGGTTATCGCAACATTGCTGTTCATTTTGAAAAGTAGTCTTTATTAGGGTTTGAAATATGAGCTGTTAATATTTGGGCTAAATGTTATGGAATCCATTAGGTATTGTGTTAGTTTCTTTGAATGAAATGATTATTCTATTTCCAGATCGCAAAAACCTATGTGAAGAGGTTGTTTCTTTACGCCGGCAAAACAGAGACTTGAAAAGGCTCTTGGCTAACTACTTGGATCATGGAGAAATTATGTCACCACCTTGTTCTTCCGAAAATCAACATTTCATACATTCCACTACTCCTCCATATGCGAATGCAAAAAAATTATAGAATGTGTCAATTTTTGGTGTTTTATCAATAAAATATTTTTCTTATGTATTGTCCTTCATTGTAGAAGTAGTTATATAGGGAGCAACACCCAAAGATTCTCTTATCAATATACAGGGTGTCTCACATTTAAATAGCAGGACTTCAGGAATCAGTAGAAGACCTCAATTTGAGTCTAAAAGTTCCTATATATATGGGTCCTAAAACGCTTAGTTTCTGAGATACAGGGCGTTCAATTTTATTTTTGTTTTATTTATTTATTTTTTAACTAAATAACCGCTGACAAAAAAAATCATCATGTTGCGGCGAAAGACTTAGTATTTGAGGGCAAATAATTTGACACAGAAAATCATCGCATATTAGTTCCAGTGGTGGAGATAGAGGGGTCTCTATGCATATTTTTATAAAAAAAAGTATAGCCGATTTGATATTTTGCAAATGTTTTCGAAAAATATGAAAGAGCATTCAATTTTACCCAGAAAAGGCCCTCTTGTCCAAAGTCGATAGGAGGTGGCGTTTTCAAGAAAAACCGAAAATACTGTTTAGAAGTCAAATAATAATTTTTAAACATTGTGTTACAACTAAATTAAATATGTAGTTCAAAAATTCGGTTAAAATTGTTTTTAATTAATTAAATGAAAATAAATACAAAAATAAATAACGAAAACCATATTACATCAAAGCAAATGTTCGAAATGTAAACCATTTTCTTCGATACATAACTGACACCGACGCTGAATAGAACGTCTCATTTGAATTAAGTTATTGTCTCTGATTTCACTGCATGCGTTCCGAATCCGACGAATAAGTTCATCCCTTGTGTCCACAGTAGTGGTATAAACTCTCT